ATGAGGCAGGAGAATCACTTGAACCCGGGAGGTGGAGGTTGCAGTGAGCAGAGGATGGCGTCACTGCACTCCAGTGGGGCAATGCAGGCAGGCCGATTGAGCTTCCCAAGCTTGGAGTGGGCAGTGCAGGCAGGTCGATCAAGCTTGCGGCTGATGCCCTTTGGGATCTTGGGCGTAGCTCTTTGGGCTTTGCAAGGGCCTTGACGGCCTCGGCACCTGCACCCACGCCCTTGGCATTGTCGGCCTGCATTCTTCAGGCTCTTTTTGTTGCGCTTCTTGGCAAAGCGCATGTTCATCAGAAACTCGGGGTCCACTCCCTTAAGAGATTTGTATCTTCTGCAATCGGATTTTTTTTTCTTTTTTCTTTTTTGAGACAGTCTTCCTCGGTCACCTAGGCTGGAATGCAATGGTGCAACCTCTGCCACCCAGGTTCAAGCGATTCTCCTGCCTCAGCCTCCCGAGTACCTGGGAGTACAGGTGTGTGCCACCATGCCCGGCTAAGTTTTTGTATTTCTAGTAGAGATGGGGTCTCACTATGTTGGCCAGGCTGGTCTCAAACTCCTGACATTTAGTGATCTTCTCACCTTGGCCTCACAAAGTACTGAGATTACAGGCATGAGTCACTGCACCCAGCCGGTGGTCAGAATTGTTTGATGCCACTTCTGTGCCGTTTTTTGAACTGGTTGTCTGCGGTGTGGTTCTTGGATTTGGCCATGTCTGCACCATAACCTGCAGCCCCTGAAGCACCTGGCTCTGGAAGGGAAAGGCTGTATCTGATAGTTCTTGCTTGTAAACAACAGAATCCTCTCCAGCTGGCTTAAGCGGAGGTGAAATGCATTGAAGGCCATCAGGCAGTCCATGGATGATCCGTGGGCTTGGTGGCTCTGCAGCGGGAACAGAACTCAACCGTTTCCACTTATGGGCCCAGGCGCTTCAGCTGACACCAGGGACTCTGAATGGAGACATTCAGCAAGCACCTGTCCCAAATTCTCCCAGCGGACTTCCCCTCTCATTGGCCACCCTGAGACCTCAGGATCTCAGGTGGGCTCAATTAGATCTTGAGATCTATGAGATCCAGGGTCCTCCACCCAAGTCTAGGATAAAAATGAGGACTTGGCTAGCAAGTAAAACGTGAGGGAAGGGCTCTGTGCTCCATCTGCCTGTACCGCCATGGCAGTGTAGACTTGGCGAAAGAAGGCCACCCTGGCCTGACTTCACACAGTCCATTGGCCCCAATACCCAATGCCTCATTAACCTATTAATCAGTCTTTGTTTCCCAGGGAATTTCTTGGAAATGGAGCTCTGATTGGTGTAACTCGAATGAGGTGTTCTCCTCTCATCCGATCCTCCACAGAAGGAGGGAGGATTGAGGGACCTTGAATGCCAAGACGTGGCGATTAGGCCTCTCAGCAGGGCAGGGGAAGGCGGAAGGGGCTAGAGCGGCCTCCTTTGCTGAGGAACAAAGACAGTTTGTTACCCAGAAAACAAGTGAAGTGAGACTAACGGCACTGGTGAAGTCGGGACACCCACACTTTTTTTCTCCAACATGATTTCTTATGTTATTTAATACACATGACAGCAGAAGTCGGAATCCAGACTAGTTGACGCTTACCTTGTAATCAATACTCTTTATATTGAATGTCATAGGTGGAGTGAAATGTTTCACAACCTTTGCAGACTCTAAAGTTCTCAATTTGGTCCTGGCAGTTACAAGAAATTGAGGCTCAGAGAGGTCTATTTGCTTTCTCAGGGCATACAGCAAATCAGTTCTCTCCATTACACTACTGTGCCCTTCCTGCCTGTGCCCCCTGTTCTGAGAATTTTTGTTATTTTTTATTTTCTGAGACAGAGTCTTGCTCTGTCACCCAGGTCGGAGTGCACTGGCATGATCGTAGCTCACTGCAGCCTCGAACTCCCAGGCTTAGGTAATCCTCCTGTCTCAGCCTCCTAAGTAGTTAGGACTACAGATGCATGCCACCGTTCCCAGCTAATTTTTCTATTTTTTGCAGAGACAGAGTCTTGCCATGTTGCCCAGGCTGGTCTCGAACTCCTGGGCTCAAGCGATCAACCCACCTCAGCCTCCTAAAGTGCTGGGATTACAGGCATGAGCCAACGTGCCTGGTGAGAATTCTTTTCAAGACCCTGTTGGGGGCCACCTGACCGTGGCCCTCTGGATCCATGTCACTGGGGCAGGACATCAAATCTAAACTAGGACAATGGTGTTCTCTTGGGAAGAGAGGAGGAGCATCTTTTGGGGAGAGATGAGGAAGTTGAGATGAAGACATTGGTTTTTTTTTTTAAACTGGGCTCTAAAATGGGAACCCATAGAAGCAAGACGGGGGGAAGAGGAGAGAGCCGAGAAAATACTCCTTAAAAAAAGAGACCAAGTTGAGAGACCAGGTGGTTGCAGAGAGGGATGGAGAGAGGAGCTGCCTGGGTCCCTGACAGCTTACTAATTCTGGGTTCTTGATCCTCATGGGATCTGCTTCCAGCCTTCATGAGATAGCCCTAGTATTCATATGATGCAGCATGCTTTTAGATGAAAGAAACAGAAACTGCAATCTGCACTGGCTCAAACAACAAGAAAACATATTCATTTACATAATAGAAAGTGCAGAGTTCCTGTTGTTCCTAAGGTGGGTTTCAGGCATGGTATGATCAGGGTGCCAGCCACATTGTTCTGTAATTCTCTCTAGGCTCCTCCCTCCGTCATGTGTTAGCCTTGATCTCACACTGGCTTCCCTTGTAGTTGCCAGAGGGCTGCCAGCAACATGAAGGGCAACATGCTTTCTTGTTTGCATCCGTAAGGGCAGAAAAGCATCTCCCTTCAACCCAAGTTCTTCCTTTCTGATAGGCCACTGTCAGTTGCATGCCTATTCCTGGACCAGTAGCAGTTTCTGGGAGAATGCTATGCACTAATTGGCTTAAACTTAGATTCCCAATCATTGGCTAGGAGGTTAGGATGGCTGTGATTGGCTAACACTAATGGAGATCTACCTTGGAGGTATGTATAAAACTCAACTGCTCCTAGTTACATAGGCTCAGCAGGGAAGGACCATTACCTGAACAAATTGAGATCTGATGGGAAGAAGGAAAGGGAAACAGATGCTAGGAGCCAAAAAAAAAAAAAAAAAAAAAATCTTTTGAGTTCGTTTGAGTAGGTTTCTGATTTTTGTAACCAAAGAGTCACTTGGACAGTTAGTTTTCTGGTCTATGTCCAAATGCCTCTGCCCAGCCCCTCTGCGGCTTGGCTCTAATTTCCTCCTGTGTTCTGGAGGCCCTGATGTCGCCAACATTTCCCACCGCTGGCTCATGGCTTTGGCAAGCTGGCGTCTCACCCTGCTCCAAGCCCCGCTGATGAAACAGAAGGTCCCTTTAGCAGAATCAATTCTGACATGTTCTAATTTAAAAAGCCTGGTACTTCTCTGCATGGGGGTGGCTGAGAGCTGCGCCCATAAAGACAGAGAGTAAATTCGTCGGGGGAAGGTCTATTTTTAACAAGTCCTGAACCTAATTGAACTTAATCATTTTTCAGTCGTTGACACTTGAAATGTGTGAGTTACTGGGCTCTGCGTGGAGCTGAGTGCTGGAGCGGCCGTTTAAATATCAGAGCTGGGTGATACCGGCTTGCAGGGCTGCTCAGCTTTGGGGCTGCGGGTTCAGTCAGGGTGTGGAAAAGCGTGGGACTCTAGAAACAGACAGCCTTAAGGTCAAATCCGGGCCGCTCCACTGACTTCAAAACTTGTTTTCTCCAAGTCTCAGTTTCCTCATCTGCAAAATGAGGATGGTCAAATGTATCCAAACATTTCATATGAATCATTTGGAGGCAAGGCCTGACATGCAGCTATTCATAATCTATCCTTATCTTACTTGACATGAGTGTTCATGCTTCCTTGCAGAAACAGTAAGGTGTGTGCTTTGGGCTGTGTTGCCCAAACCCTGTATGTAATACACTGCCCCACTGACGTCCCTCATGGTTACAACATGGCTGCCAGCAACATCAGGGGCAACATACTCCCTTGTGTACCATATTATCTTTCTGAAACCGAAAATATGGTAAGTTCTTTTTTTTCAAGACAAGGAGTCTCACTTTACGCAGACTGGAATGAGCAAGATCTTGGCTTATTGCAACCTTTGCCTCTGGGGTTCACGCAATTCTCCTGCCTCAGCCTCTGGAGTAGCTGGGGCTACAGGGGCCCACTGCCACTGGGTGTGCACCACCATGCCCCGCTAGTTTTTTTGTTTTTTTTTTGTTTTTTTTTTTTTTTTTTTTTTTTTTGTATTTTTAGTAGAAATCCAAAAAAATACACAGGGTTTTGCCATGTTGGCCAGGCTGGTCTTGAACTCCTGACTTCAAATGATCTGCCCACCTCAGCCTCCCAAAGTGCTAGGATCGTAAGCATGAGCCAGCGCACCTGGGCTTCAAAATACGGTTAAGTCCTAAAACACATCCTGTCCCAAGAATTTACAGATCAAGTGGAGACCTTAGCAGGGCTGAACCACTACAATCCACTCAGGAGATAAAGTGGAAATCACAAGCCATCAGGATTACTGTAGAAATTTCCCATTAATTCTATGATTGTTTCTAGAGTTTAGCGCCAGAGGAAGCAGCTGACTTGTGTTTCGGGGCCAATTGTATGGAAAATGCGTATCTTTAAACTACCAAACTCCGTCAGGGCAGTGAAAAGCTCACTTGCCTGGATCACACTTGGGTTCCCGTGTCATGCTCACAGCGGGTGGGGGTGAGGCGGATGTTCTGAAGAAGATTCTCCTGCACTGATGAAGTTATGTTTCTTATGAATGATTTCTCTTCCTCCCCCACTTTTTTTGGGGGGCTCCTTTGAGAGTGTGTCGCTCCTCTCCCCCAACCAAAAGCCTCCCTCCAACCAGCTGCTCTTGTCCTCTCCTCCAGAGGGCCCTGTGCCCTCCCAGGGACTTGCAGGGGAGAACGTCCAAGTCTGTGCGGGTCACAAAGGCGCCCGTTCCAGGGTCCCAGAACTCCCGAGCGTGGAGCTGGGGGTGTGGCGCAGCGAGGCCGCGCGGCAAGCAGCCCTCCCCGCGGCGTGGCACGTGCAGCTGCAGCCGCAGTCGGACTAGCCCGAGCCGCCAAGGGCACAGTCCGGGCCCCGCCGCTGGTAAGTTTTGTCGCCGGCCCAGCCGCTCCTGCTGCGTCATAGCTCCCACTGCCGGGGAAAAGCGAAGAGCGGTCGCAGCCCCCAAGTCCATTCAGTCCTCGGTGCCCTGAGCCTGGCAAACACAGGGTCTCCAGCAATCAAGCATAAATAAAGTGTAGCGTGTAAAAGAACTCCAGGGCCCCGCGAGGTGTCTCATGCCTGTAATCCTAGTACCTTGGGAGGCTGAGGCAAGAGGATCGCTTGAGTCCGGGAGTTTGAAACCAGCCTGGGCAACTTTGGCTCTACAAAATCTTTAAAAACTTAGCCGGGCGTGGTGGCGCCACCTGTAGCCCCAGCTACTTGGGAGGCTGAGTGGGGAGGATCACTTGAGCCTGGGAGGTTGAGGCTGCAGTGAGCCGAGATTGCACCACTGCAAGCTAGCCTGGGTGACAGAGAGAGACCCTGTCAAAAAAAAAAAAAAAAAAAAAAAAATTCAACTAATTTTTATTCTCCTCCCATAATAATCCTTTAAACAAACAAACAAAAACCCAAAAAACACCACGTGTGTGTTTCTAGGGCTCCTGTTTGGCTAGTGCCCTAAGCACCTGTTTAACTCCATCAGCAGGTTGTACAGCCCTGACTCAACATGATCCACATAGCTGCCTGTCCCGAGGTCCTCAGAGAATCCTTCATGGGACAGGCTTGACTTTTAAAGGCAGATTGCTAAAATTCAGAAGCAGAGGAGCTGCAGACCTAATTCGATATTAGACAAATAAAGGTAATCTCTGCCTGGAGGGAACTTCATTCATTCAAACTTTGCCAAGAGCTTCTCATGTGCCCAGGACTATGGATGCTGTAGTGAATAGACTGAGGCCCAAGAATCAGGAGGCCCTTGCCTGAGGTCCCCTGACCTGGGCTGCTGGACTTCTCTGCACTTCTCCTTGCACACGCTGCTCCCCAGAAGTGAGCAGGTTTTAGATTCCTACCAGGAACTACAAATTCAAATTCCTGCTGGCTCTAGGCAGTTACAGAAAATGTGAGAATTAAGGGGAGGGGAGATTAGCCAAGAGGGAGGAGTGTGGCCTGTGGCCAGGAGAGTGAGTGTGTGATCCACAGTTATATTTTGAAACACTGTGGAACAGAACTGGAGGCAGGTTGAATTGGGCCCATGGGCTGGGAGTTTGAGACCCTTGAATGAGAGCATGGTAAGCCAGGGGTCAGGACATCTGGGAGATGCTCTGCAGGCCAAGCTATGAAGATAGGGGTGGGGAGGGGGTGGATCTGTTCCGCAGGGAACAGAGGAACCCACTCCAGAGGGCACTGACCAAAAGAGAAAGACCTGGGTTAGCATCTGGAACCTAAAGAGAAGCCAGCACCCTAGCGGGGAGTGACTGTATGCGTGTATGGACCAGCAAAAAGGCAGGAGGTGATGGAGGCTTTGGCTCCTGGAGAATGGTGCATAAAACAGCCAATGATCTCACGGGCCAGCCAGACTGGTACTTGGAAATCCTAATTCACAAACAAGCTACGTTCACCCGGTGTCTGTCACGAGCTAGGCAAACGCTAACCACTTTACAGGCAGTATTTTATGCTAAGATATGGGTGTGGGGATCTCCATTCTACAAATGAGGAAACTGAGGCTCAGAGAGGTCAAATCACACTGTCAGTGAAGGTCAGGTATACCCACCTCATGCTTATAAGATGGTGCCTTACAAATCCACTTAGGACCCAAAGGGCTCTGGAACACAGAACAGCTCCTGGACAATATGAAATTGAAGCTGCCCAGAATTCCAGGGCTGAAAGAGGTCCCAGAGAGAGTATCCTTTGTCCAAACCTTGTTAGGTAAATCCTCTTATAGCTTCTGCCTCCACCTGGAAGACCCTTCCAGAAATGATCAAGATACAGAACCATTGTCTTACACCACTTTCCTGCCTATGGAAACTTCCCAACATTAGACAATTCAGTTGGCCCTCAAACCCTCAAAAACATCAGGGAAAATCCAGGGGTTCCTACATTGCCAGCCACTATTGTCCTATCACCCGTTAACCTGAGAATCATTTTCAAGGTACGGATCATGTGAGTTAGGAATGCTTTAGGCTGCAATGAACAAAATACTTGGTGACTGCCTTAAACAACAGTGCCTTTTGCTATTTCACGTAACACGATGTCTGGAAGTAGCCAGTTCCAGGGATGGGGCAGTAGCCAACAGTGTCAATTAGGACTTAATTTTTTCCCCATCTTTCCACTTTGCTGTCTTTAGTATGATAGTGATATTTCTCCTCACAGGCACGGGATGGTTGCTACTGCACCAACTATCACTCATGCTTTCACAATAATTCCTATAAGCAGAGGTGAGAGGAACACGTACAAGCTCTCACTTTTTATGTTATTTAAAAAATTTTTTTGAGATGGAGTCTCACTCTGTTGCCCAGGCTGGAGTGCAGTGGCTCCATCTTGGCTCACTGCAACCTCCATTTCTTAAGCTCAAGCAATTCTCCTGCCTCAGCCTCTTGAGTAGCTGGGATTACAGGCACCTGCCACCAGGCCTGGCTAATTTTTGTATTTTTAGTAGAGCAGGGGTTTCACCATGTTGGCCAGGCTGGTCTTGATCTCCTGACCTCACGTAATCTGCCTGCCTGGGCCTCCCAAAGTGCTGGGATTACAGGCTTGAGTCATCATGCCTGGCCCATCTCACTTTTTGTCACAAAGGAATGGAATAGACTTCGCCTTATGTCTCATTGGCCACATCTGGGTTACACGTCCGTCCTTAAACCAATCATTGACAAAGGGAATTGGGGTTACCATGATTAGCAGGAACCAATCATGAGTCATCCTCTGGGACTGGGCACATTGAGTGGGGGCAAAATCAGATTTGTGTTAGGAAGAAAGAAGTTAGGGTATTCTCAGGCATGCTAGCTGCTGTAACAAATACATGCCCACATTTCGTTCGCTTAACACAACAGAAGTTAATTTCACATTTGTGTAACAATCCGATGAGGATGTTCATGGTCGGCAGGTGACTTCTACAAGTTGATCTGGGGACCTGACTTGTGGCTCTGCCTCCCATAAATGTCAGATGGGGCCAGAAAGTTTGGAAAAGTCACATCTGCTTCTTAAAAGTTATGGTCTGGAAGCGACAGACTTCCCCTCTGCGCACATCCTATTGGTGAGAATTCATCATATAGCCCAGCCGGGATCAGAGAGGAGTAGGGTAACTCAAGCAACAATGCCACACGAAGGGAAGTGACTGTTGGGGAGGTGATGAACTGATTCTTCCACAGGCTGATTTCATCTCATTCTTGCTTTTAAAAAGCATCCAGGCCAGGCGTGGTGGCTGACACCTGTAATCACAGCACTTTAGGAGGCCGAGGTAGGTGGATCACCTGAGATCAGGAATTCAAGACCAGCCTGACCAACATGGTGAAACCCCATCTCTAAAAATACAAAATTAGCTGGGCATGGTGACACATGCCTGTAATCCAGCTACTTGGGAGACTAAGGCAGGAGAATTGCTTGAACCCGGGAGGCAGAGGTTTCAGTGAACCGAGATCACGCCATTGCACTCCAGCCTAGGCAACAAGAACAAAATTCCGTCTCAAAAAAAAAAAAAAAAAAAAAAAGAAAAGAAAAGAAAAGAAAAAAAGGCAGCATCCGGTTCCTTTGCTAGCCCCTTTCCACTACTAGACGCTGCCACCTATACTTGCCCACACATTCTCTGAACACTCCTTTCGTTCGCTTCCTTCTCACTTTTTTTTTTTTTTTTTTTTTTTTTTATTGCATTTTAGGTTTTGGGGTACATGTGATGAACATGCAAGATTGTTGCATAGGTACACACATGGCAGTGTGCTTTGCTGCCTTCCGTCCCCTCACCTGTATCTGTCATTTCTCCCCATGCTATCTCTTCCCACCTCCCCACCCCCCGCCCCTCCCCCATTTCCCCCCAAGGGACCCCAGTGTGTAGTGCTCCCCTCCCTGTGTCCATGTGTTCTCATTGTTCAACACCCGCCTATGAGCGAGAATATACGGTGTTTGATTTTCTGCTCTTGTGTCAGTTTGCCCAGGCCGTTCTCTCTGCCCGTAATTCTCCCCACCAACTTTTCTTCTCTGCCTGGTGAACTCCTATTCATTTTTCAAAACCCAAGTTAAAAGTCATCTTCTTTGTGGAGCCTTTTTCACTATTTCGTCCTAGGCAGGATTTATGGGACTTTGCAGGTTGACTTACCACTGAATTCCACACCCTGCGTAGCACACAGTAGAGGCTCAGTTTATGTGCTAAATAGAGGTAAGTACTTCAGGTATGAGAACTCATTTGGTTGCAAGCAATAGAAAATGCATCTCAGGTTGCTGTAATGGAATATATTGATTTCTGTAATTGGACATTACCCAGAGGTATGTCCAGATTTGGCTAAATGCTGGCGCTTGGATAATGTCCTGTCCTCAAGGTCGTCTGTCTTCATTTTGTCTTCTCGCCTCTGTTTTAGCTTGGTTCGCAGCCTCTTGCACAGGCAAGATGGCTGTCAGCCTCTCCTGACCTTATCCACTGAAGTTCAATTGCAGCAGGAAACAAAGTCTCTCTCTCCTTGAGGGTTCCAGCTTAAATCCCGCCATTCAGTCTGCTTTGACTAGCTAGCTTCACGTGTCCATCCATCCCCGCTGAAGAAATCCCAGGCTAGAATGCTGAGGTCATGCAGATTGCCAGGGATCTTGCACTCTGGCTCATCCAGAGTCAGATGCCCCAATCATGAAGGTAGAGGGGTGTGGTCCGCCCCCAGGAGTTCGGAAAGGTGTGGCTTCCCACGGGAACTTCAGAGTATTGTTACCAGGAGATAGACGAACACCCCTCTCACCCTCATGAACATCCACCACCCTGAACCTTCTGAAACAATCCATATCCTGCCATATCATCCCAGCCACTGTGCACTGAGCACTTACTACATGCCAAGCACAGTGCTGAGTGTCTTACGCACTCAATGACATGGCTTCTAGAATTTCTCCCATTTTCCAGACGAAGAAACTGAGGTCTAGAGAACTGAAGTGAATTGCCCAAGCTTTACAAGTGGCTTTGGAGAAATTTGAAATGATATCCAACGATTAGCACAACCAATGCTTTACACCACTGCATTGCAGGACCCTCAGTGGTGGCAAAGCTGGAATTTCTGCATTTGGAACCCAGCCCCTGCAGTCTGGAATTGGCTGTGCAGCGGGTCTCACAACCTCCAAGGATGTTGGGATTAATGCTGTACCTTGCTCTGAATAACTGTGGGCCAGATGAAGTTCAAGTGGTGACATGATAGGAATACTGACATCTGCTCTGAGATGAGAGGGTGGGGATTCCCCGACAGCTGCAGCTGAAGTTGGCCACATTTCTGTTTAACCCCATCAGGAGACACACTGCCCCAATGCCATTTTTTTTTTTTTTTTTTTTTTTTCCGAGATGGAGTCTCGCTCTGTCACCCAGGCTGGAGTGCAGTGATGCGATCTTGGCTTACTGCAATCTCTGCCTCCAGGGTTCAAGAGATTCTCCTGCCTCAGCCTCCTGAGTAGCTGGGATTACAGGCGTGTGCTACCACACCCGGCTACTTTTTTTGTTTTGTTTTTGTAGAGACAGGGTTTCACCATGTTGGCCACCCTGGTCTCGAACTCCTGACCTCAAGTGATCCACCCACCTCAGCCTCCCAAAGTGCTGGGTTACAGGCATGGGCCACTGTGCCCGGCCCTCTGATGCCATTTTGCCCCCTCTTTGGGAACACAGGGAGCAGGAGGGTAACTGCCACATCAGAACCATCTGCCCAGTTCCTAATAATAAATGGTAAGAGAAACAGTTTCCGGGCAAACAAAGATTTGAAAAAAATAAGTGCCTTTTGTCACACTCGGGTAGCCATCTGCGTATCCTCCTCATGTGCCAAGCTGTGGGTGGAGGAAGGAGTGGCAGGGGGAGGGAGGAGGCGCCGTTCTGACCTGCACCCCCAGCAGGGGTGGCTTACAAGTTCTCTTCCTTTTGCCACAGTGGACGGGGCATTGCAGAGACAGAGAGACAGGCTCGCTGGCTTTGAGCTCCCTGGGTACGGCGTCTGAACGGAGGTCAAGTGGGATTCCAAGATGCCCGGGGTAGGTGATGCCAGCTCCCGGCCACAGAGTGCCTACTATGGGCTCAGGCACTGTGCTGTCCACTTCACACATGTTAGCTCATCTCATCCTGATGACAGATCTGTGCTCTCCCATTTCGTAGGCAGGAGGCTGGAGGCTCAGAGACACCTAGTGACTCGCCCAAGTTTCCACTAGATGGCACAGCCAGAGCTTGAACCCAGAACTCCAACAAACACCCCCCCCCCGCTCCATAGTATGCAATTACAAGTCAGTCATCTCTCCACCGAGCAAGCCAGGATGGGTTTTCCATGTAATAGACAAGCATCTGACATCACCCAAAGGAAGGTCTTCCACCTCTAGCCCTGGCCCAGCCAGCCCCACTGCCCTTCGCCCTTAAGCCAAACTGTGGGCCTCTCTAGCCACCTGACCCGCTATGGCCTCCCCGTCCTCTCCATCTCTCCCAGTTGAAGAAGTACAGGAGGAAAGACTCTGACGTTCCTGTGGAACCTTCGGAGAAGGCCAAAGAGCAGCAGGCGGAAGCAGAGCTGCGGAAGCTAAGGCAGCAGTTCAGGAAGATGGTGGAAAGCCGGAAGTCTTTTAACTTCCGAAACCAGCAGAAGATCGAGAGTCAGTAGTAAGTGATGGGTGGCACTTTGCACGGAGTGGCCTTGGAGGAAAGGTGGCGTTGGGTTTCATGGTGCTTGTCTTCTGTCCTGTGACCTCTGGGGCAGGGAGCCACCTCTGAGCCCCGCTGGAAGACTCACGGTCTTTTATCTGCAGACTAATTTCAAGAGAAACCCACTTGAGATGGCTTCAGTGGAGAGGGCGAATTTATTGTCAGAATGCAGGGTGTTTCGGGGACCCCTGGAGGGCAGGGCACCCAGATCTCAGGGAAGGACCTAACTGAGGAAGGAGTTCTGGTTTTTGTTTTTCTCCACAAACGACTTTTGTTCTTCTGTCTCTGAATTTCAGCCCCAGCTGGTGGGAAGCGGCTGCTCCATCTCTTAAGTTTACCAGCCGCACAGAGAGTGGGCCGTGGGTGAATCAATTCCAACCCCACATCCCTGGGAGTGGGAGAATCTGATAGGCTCAGCTCGGGTCAGGGGTCTCCTCCTGGTCCAATCAGTTGTGGCTTGAGGATGCATGGGACACAGAAATGTCCGGGGCTGTCACTCCCTTTGTCCTACTAGGGAAGTGGAGGAGTTCCCAGAGAAGGTGGAAACTCCAACGACGTTTCCTAATTGTGAGAACTGCACGATAGAATATTTAAAGTTGGATTGTACCAGAAATTAGAGTGTATTGTTTCTTTTCTTTTCTTTTTTGAGAGAATTTTGCTCTTATCACCCAGGTTGGAGTGCAATGGTATGATCTCAGCTCACTGCAATCTCCACCTCCCAGGTTCAAGCAATTCTCTGCTTCAGCCTCTTGCGTAGCTGGGATTACAGGTGCCCGCCACCACACCCAGCTAATTTTTGTATTTTTAGTAGAGGCGGGATTTCACCATGTTGGCCAGGCTGGTCTCAAACTCCTGACCTCAGGTGATCTGCCTGCTTTGGCCTCCCAAAGTGCTGGGAATACAGACATGAGCCACCGTGCCTGGCCTGAAAGGGATTCTTTAGATTTTCCATGAATTTAACTTACTCAGGGCCAGGTGTAGCCCATAAGAAGCCTCCATGTGAATTTTTTAAAAGGCACACTTTCTCAAGACACTTTACTGCCATCTACTGGAAAAAGTGTCATTATATAGAGATTTTGCTAGAATAAGAAAGTGTCTCCCACAAAAGTGTAAAAAATCTACAAAACAGTGATGTGTTTTCAAGCTGGTGGTGCTTCCTAGGGCTGTGCAGTCAACAACCCGCACATCTGTTTCTGGCTGGCCTGATTCTCAAGCCTACCTTTTTAAATTAGTTAACATTTTACATTTTAAATTAATTAACATAAATAAAAATAAAATAAAATTTAGTTCTGCTGCAAACGCGCAGCTCCAGTATTTCAAGTTTGCAGTAATCACTTGTGCCTCCCTGGATACTGTGGGCCCTGCAGATAGAGAGCGTTTCATCACTGCAGAACGTCCTGTTAGAACGGGGTCTGCAAATGTTGGCCACATCTGGCTGGCTGCTGGTTTGTGTAAATAAAGTTCTGCTGGTGCATAGCCACGCCTATTGGTTTCCTTTTTGGCCCTTTTTAGAAAAAGGTTTGCCAACTCCTGTCTTAGGACATTTTTTTTGTTTGTTTTTTTTTAAATTTGAGACAGGGTCTCACCGTCTCCCAGGCTGGAGTGCAGTGGCACGATCTCAGCTCACTGCAACCTCTGTCTCCTGGGCTCAAGTGATCCTCCCATCTCAGCTACCCTTTCTACTTTTTGTAAAGACAGGGCCTCGCTATGTTGCCTAGGATGGTTGTGAACTACTGAGTCAAGCAATCCTCCTGTCTCGGCCTCCCAAAGTGCTGACATTACAGGGATGAGCCACTGTGCCAGGTCTGTAGAACATTCTTTACTGTTCTATAGCAGTGTGTCCAAAACTTTTGAAGTATCTGGACACTTGATATTGTAACGAAGCAGATTCTGATCCAATTGGTCCCAGGTTGGGCACCTGAGGTTCCGTATTTCTCCAAGCTGCCGAAGGGCATTCATGCTACTGATCCACAAACCACATTGGGCAATGGCGTCAGTCTCCGGACCGCCAGAAGCTCGGCCTCCATGCCATGTCCCCTTGTTCCGTTGTTGTGCAGTCTTTCAAGCCCCCTTTGCTCTTTTCCAAATCCACCTGTTTACCCACATCCCAGTAAACAGGGAGAGGAGGAGGCTGGGATCAGCCCATTTCATCGTTAGCACTCCGAGGAGAGAAACTGGTGCAGCTTAGAGGCTGTTGTGTATCCTGTGTGGATGCAAACTTGAAAAATCCTGCCTGGCCAGGCGTGGTGGCTCACGCCCGTAATCTCACCACTTTGGGAGACTGAGGCAGGTGGATCACATGAGGCCAGGAGTTTGAGACCAGCCTGGCCAATATGGCGAAACCCATCTCTACTAAGAGTACAAAAATTAGCTCAGCGTGGTGACACAGAGTCCCAGCTACTCTGGAGGCTGAGGCAGAAGAATCGCTTGAACCCAGGAGACTGAGGATGTAGTGAGCTGAGATCCCACCACTGCACTCCAGCCTGGGTAACAGAGCGAGACTCTGCTTAAAAAAAAATCCTGCCTGATGGTTTACTCCTCATTACCGGAGATAATTGGTGGCGAAGTCTGGAAAGATGGTCTGCAGAATCAGACAGGTGCCAGGGAGTTGCTGGCGAAAGAGAACTTGGGGCTTCCTCCATGTCTGGGTAATGGGTTTTGACAGGCACAGCTGCCAACTGTTCCCTAGGAAAAATACCTACCTCCGAGAAGGCGGGGCAGCGGGAAATCATGGTGAACCGGATCTCAGGTGATCAGGCTTCCAGACCTGGCACTGAGACCTTGGACGAGTCTCTTTCGCCTTGTTGCTCACGTGGGAAGTTCCTCTCTCCGCGTCTCCTTGCAGGGCTGATGTGCCTGGAGTGCTCTGTCAAGGTAAACTCAGGGGTAAACTCAGAGGTTCGGGGTTAATTGCGGGCTGCTTTTCCAACAGCAAGGAGATTAAGACCCTGAAGGCAGAGCAGGATGAGCTCACCCTACTGCTGAGTCTCATGAAATCCTCGAGGAACGTGAATCAGAGTGAGAAGGACTACACGGAGCTGCGTTTCCTGCTGCAGGCCAAGGAGGACTACGAGGCCTTGATCAAATCCATGAAAGTGCAGTTGGCTGACCTGGATGAGAAGGTGTGGTCTTTCTCTTAAAGAGTTAACCAGAACACAGAGCAAAGGGGAGCAGTTGGGGTGCATATTCATGATGCCTTAGGCCAGACCTGACACCCCAGAATCCCAGTATCTCCTCTGAACAGCCTGCTAAATGTGACTGCTGCTACTATCTCTGCCACCCTTGAGACCTCTGGGCTCCAGTATCCAGGCTCAGCCTCACCGATCCATCCTTCTGCCGTGCTCCCCAGCGCCACCCGCATCACCTCCGATAAACCACCACAGCCTCACCATATTTGTTAGGAGAGGTTTGATTAATATGAATGCAGCCCCCTCCCGCATTCTCAGTGGTTTAAAACTGAACATTTAAGGTTTTTTCCTTGTGGATGCCACATAACTGTTGTGGGTTGGCTAACAGCCCTTCTCACACTGAAACTAGGCTGAAGGAATTGCCACCATCTTGAACATTGCCAGGTGTTACAGGAAGGAAAGAGAGTTCTAGAGGGTTTCATGTTGGCAATTGAATGTTCCAGCCTGGAAGTGAAACATGTCACTTTTTTTTTTTTTTTTTTTGAAACAGAGTCTTACTCTGTTGCCCAGGCTGGAGCGCAATGGTGCAATCTCGGCTCACTGCAACCTCTGCTTCTCCGGTTCGAGCGATTCTCCTGCCTCAGCCCCCTGAGTAGCTGGGATTACAGGCGTGCACCACCATGCTGGCTAATTTTTGTATTTTTAGTAGCGATGGAGTTTCACCATGTTGGCCAGGCTGGTCTTGAACTCCTGACCTCAAGTAATCTGCCTGCCTTGGCTTCCCAAAGTGCTGGGATTACAGGTGTGAGCCACCACAGCTGACTGAAACATGTCACTTCTGCTCATGACCCAGGGGCTGAAAATAGTCGTGTTTTCTAATTATGGCAACAGCAATAACAACAAAAAACAAAAACAGACAGAGAGAGAAAGAAAAAGAGCAAGAGAAAACAGTCAGGTACATGACCCTACCCATCCACAAAGGGGTCTGGGAAGTGCCACCCTCTCATTATCTAGAAGGCAAAGAGCTGAAGGTATTTGCAGGACAGCACTAATGGTCACGCCCCTTACCATGGCTTGAAAGGCCCTGCGTGATCTAGCCCCTGCCTCCCGCTTGGCCCCGCTCAGGCCCTTCGCCTGTGCCTCCCATTCCCACCCCTCCCCGACTCCCCGCCCCTGTGCCTCCCATTCCCACCCCTCCCCGACTCCCCGGCGGTCCTTCAGGTTTCAACTTAAATGTGGCTTTCTCAGGGAGGCCTTTTCTGTGCCCCTTTCTAGTTTATACCTCCCCGTGTCCGTCAGGTTCCCGGCTGGGAACACAGAGCACCCCCAGCAGGGTACTTTGAGAAGAGTTAGTGCAGGGCCCATTTGCAAGGGTGTGGGGAGGAGTAGGGATCTTGAAACGCTGGGGTTCGCAATGGCGGGCGAGGGGGCTGCAGTCTGGAACTTGGAGAGTCCGGAGCAAGCCAGGGGAAATGCTTCTCTTTCTTCCAACCCTCTGATCGTCAGTGCAAGGGAACCCCTTGGGGGATGCAGCCAGGTCAGCCTGTTGGGGCACAGAGCGGTCGGGGACAAGCAGGAGATGCCTTGGCTCCCCGCAGCACCCCCTTCATAGCTCTTCTCACCGCTGTTGTTATGCCTTAATCTGGTGGTTTATGGCTCCCTGACAGCTCCACAAGGGGGAGGACCATGTCTGCTTTGTTCCCCACGGTGCCACCCGTGCCCCCAACGCCATGCCTGTCCCAGTGTCTCGCACACAGGCGATCCTTGGGAAACATTTACTATTTCTATTATAGTATTTATTAATTGCCATGAAGAAATGGCTGAGACAGGTAATTTATTTAAATATTTATATTTATTTATTTATTTGGAGACAGAGTTTCACTCTCGTTATACAGGCTGGAGTGCAGTGGCGCAATCTTCGTTCACTGCAGCCCCCACCTCCTGGGTTCAAGCAATTCTCCTGCTTCAGCCTCCCAAGTAGCTGGGATTACAGGCATGCGTCACTATGCCTGGCTAATGTTTGTATTTTTAGTAGAGATGGGGTTTCGCCATGTTGGTCAGGCTGGTCTCGAACTCCTGACCTCGGGTGATCCACCTGCCTCGACCTCCCAAAGTGCTGGGATTACAGGCATGAGCCGCTGTGCCTGGCTTCTAACTCCCATTTCTTTTCCTTTCATTCTTCCTCCCTTCCCTTCTCCTTCCACTGAGTTGCTAATGACACAAGGTGAGGTGCACATGTCTTAAGGACAGCTCAGTGAACTGATGCTTAGATATACACTCACGTAATCATCACCAAGATCAAGAGGTACATTACTGCAGTGTCTAGAAGGCTTCCTTGGTCTCTTTTCACAAACCACCCCCAAGGGACCTCATCCTGATCTCCAGCATCATACCTTTGTTTTGTCTGCATATAGAATTGCATCTGAATCACCTCTTCCAGGATATGCACTTTCTATCTGGCTTTTTTCATTCAACCTTATGTCTGCCAACACCCTTTTTCAACAGCAAATAATTATTCCTTTACAATCCTGAAATGAAATTCACAAATGATAGAATCCTTTCCCTTTACTTATGCTTTGCAATCAATATGATGCCTTAATTATAAAGAAGAAATAAAAGGGAAGTTATTTATACTAAAATGATATTTATTTTGATACATGAATGTCCTCATCTGGCTTACCTAGAACAGGGCCAGCAAACTGTTTCTGCAGGAACCAGGTAGTGAATATTTTGGCTTTGTGGGCCACGTGGTCTCTGTTGCAAGTCCTTAGCTCTGATTTTGTAGCTTGAGGGAAGCTATAGATAATACATAAATGAATGGGCATGGCTGGGTTTCAATAAAACTTTATTGACAAAAATAGGAAGCGTGCCAGATTTGGCCAAGGGGTAGAGTTTGCAGACCCCTGGCCTAAAAAATGCAGTCACAGGTCTGTTTTGATAAGCAGAATCGCCAAAGATTACATACACTGCAGACAGATGCAGCCTGGCTATATCCACAACTTGAGTAACGTGATTCAGGCTGTGCTGGTGATGTGATTTTCAGAATAGTGACCAACTCTTAGTAAAGTTCCAAACAAATCAAAGAACAATCTTCTCTTGATTGATACAGTGACTACAGTCCTGGATAATTCAGTGTCTATTAGAACTGAATGGAAAATTCTGTGTGTGTACATAGAAAAGATAGTTGTGTTTTTGTTTTAAGACGGGGTCTTGGCCGGGCGCGGTGGCTCAAGCCTGTAATCCCAGCACTTTGGGAGGCCGAGGCGGGTGGATCACGAGGTCAAGAGATCGAGACCATCCTGGTCAGCATGGTGAAACCCCGTCTCTACTAAAAATACAAAAAATTAGCTGGGCGTGGTGGTGCGTGCCTGTAATCCCAGCTACTCAGGAGGCTGAGGCAGGAGAATTGCCTGAACCCAGGAGGCGGAGGTTGCGGTGAGCCTAGATCGCGCCATTGCACTCCAGCCTGGGTAACAAGAGCGAAACTCTGTCTCAAAAAAAAAAAAAAAAAAGACGGGGTCTTGCTCTGTTCAGGCTGGAGTGCAGTGGCACAATCATGGCTCACTGCAGCCTTGACTTCTCATGTTCAAGTGATCCTCCTGCTTCAGCCTCTCAAATAGCTGAGACTATAGATGCATGCCACCACGCTTGACTATTTTTAGATTTTTTCATAGAGATGGGAGGGTCTCACTTTGTCCTCCAGGCTGGTCTCAAATTCCTGGGCTCAAGTAGTACTTTCACCTTGACCTCCCAGAGTGCTGGCCAAATTTTCTGTGCCTAGAATCAAACTATCTTTTTTGGCCAGGTGTGGAAACAGCCAGGCATGGTGGCTCACGCCTGTTATCCCAGCACTTTGGGAGGCCGAGGCGGGCAGATCACCTGAGGTTGGGAGTTCAAAACCAGCCTGACCAACATGGAGAAACCCTGTCTCTGCTGAAAATACAAAATTAGCTGGGCGTAGTTGCACATGCCTATGATTCCAGCTACTCAAGAGGCTGAGGCAGGTGAACTGCTTGAACCCCGGAAGCGTAGGTTGTGATGAGCTGAGATTGCACCACTTCCAGCGGAGATTCCAGCCTGGGCAGCAAAACCCTGTCTCAAAAAAAAAAAAAAAAAAAAAAAAAAAAAAAAAAGCCAGGCATGATGGTGCATTCCTTTAGTCCCAGTTACTTGGGAGGCTGAGGTAGGAGAATCGCTTTCACCTCTAAGGTGGGGGTTACAGTGAGCTAAGATGGCACCACCTTACTCCAGCCTGGGTGACAGAGTGAGAGATCCTGTCTCAAAAAAAAAAGAAAGTTTCAAAGCAAAGCAAAGTATAAAGAGGTCTCTCACCTACATAATGTCCAGAGGGGCACCGGGAAGTCACAAGGATAGATGATAAATCTTGGATTCCTGGTGCTGTCCCACATGTTGCAGGGTGTGTGACCCTCACGACCCACCATTAAATGCCACTAGTGCCTTTATCATTGCAAGAGCCAAAAAAACACCTCTCCAAGCTTAAAGAAGGCCCCTCAGAGGACGATGTCATTTCTGCTGGAAACCATGACTTTGGGTAGGCAGAATGTATGTCCATGTGTGTAAATGTCACAGGTGAGTGACATTTACATGCACAGGTGAGAGCAAAAACTCCATATTGTTTCATTGTACCCCAAACTGGCTAAGACTCAGTCTAATTGAGCAGGCATCCAAGAGACAAGTTAAAATGTCATTTATAGGAAAAGCAAGAACGTTGCAGTTTTTTCTGAGCACCCTTCAGTTAGTGAACCATAGAACTGGTACCCATACAGATGCTAACACAGCTGGAATTTCTCTCTCTCTCTCTTTTTCTTTTTTTTCAGATTGTTCAGATGGAAAAAAAAATTGCAAACCAAAAACAGATTTTCGCAAAAATGCAGGAAGCCAATAACCCACGGAAACTGCAGAAACAGATCCACATTTTGGAAACCCGTTTGAATCTCGTATGTAAGGTCTTCTCTGCAGCTCTGCGAGCAGCTCTGCCCACCCGTGCTCAGAGCAAAGAATGATGTCTGCCCAGCCATTAGCAGAGCATACCCATTTCCCTAGTTAACTCAGGAGCAGGTGAACTAATGGACACACAGACCAGGAAGCCTTTAGGATTTACCATCCACCTTAGCAAATATGGTTATCCCCTCAGACCCTTACCCGAATTCCCCAACCTACCTGGGATGCCTACTCTTAGTTCTGTGCCTCCAAACTTCCTGTCTGTTTTCAAGAAGCAGCTCAAATATTACCCATTACCAAAGCAGCAATAGCTAGACCTTCCTTCTCCATGACAAGCCGCTCGTGCCTCTGCCACGCCAGTGCCTGTTTGTTGCTGGTGTTGTCTCCAAGAATTAGCAGGGATAGATATGCATAACTTGCTAACGGGAAAGGTGGCAGTGATCACCCTTAATCTTCAGTGGCTTTTGCATTAAGCAGGATTCCCAAAAAAATAAAAAATAAAAAAAAAGCAGGATTCCCTAAATTGCAATGTGCCTTAAGCAAAAATAGAGAAAGATTCAGAGGAGGAAGTGGGGCCTTCAGGCATAGCTGGGTTCAGGTGCTCCACACTTGTCTTAAGGACATATTCTCTGTCCATCTTTCCTGTGAGTGGACTTCATTTTTAGGTAGCCCCCAATATGAACAAATGTCAGCAGAAATGAAACATCTTTCTCCTAAGAGTTTAACCACATGTTATGGGGAGAGTTCCCACTGGGCCAGCTTGGGTCATGTGCCCATCCCTGAACCAATCACAGTGATCAGAAGAAAGAAATATATGGGCCTGAGTCACATGACTACTCTGGGACCCCCCCTCTCCCCACAACCCACCCACCGCCACCCCAAGTCAGGGAAGGGCAGCCCTATCCAAAATATGTGGATTAGAGGAGAGGTGGTTCCCCTGGAAACGCAAAAAGAGGAGGGGAAGAATGACAGACAGGTGCAAACCACACCTTCCAGTCTGGTTGGTGAAACTGTAGCTCCCACGTGAGCTACTGAGAAAGTGAATGGATTTGGAAGAAAGCCTGTCATTGCCTCACTAAACAAAGTTCTTAGCTTTCTCCAGACTTTGACCACCAGGCTTTGACCAGGCATGATGGGAACTAATTGGATCTGATCTCTGTTTGCCGCCCCAAGTTGCTGCCAGAGGACAGGGCACTGTCTTTTTAATATCCATGCCCAGCGATTTGCAGCTGTGCCTCAGAATTCCCAAGATATGTGTTAAAAATACAGATTCCTGGATGCCCTCTGGATTCACCAAATCAGAATCTCTAAGGCTTAGATTCAGACATCTGAACCATTATTAGCAAATCCAGAGAGACCGAAGGTCCCATTGGTTAAGAATCATAGACTTAATGCCTCACATGGTGTTTAATGCCTCAGCAAGTGTCTGTCAATTGAATGAATTACTAAATGCAGGCATGATGTAATGATGACTTGATGACTTGTCTATAGGTCCGGTTTTTTTTTTTTTTTTTTCTCTTTGAGACGAAGTCTCACTCTGTCATCCAGGCTGGAGTGCAGTGACATGATCATGGTGGAGTGCAGTGACATGATCATGGCTCACTGCAGCCTCAGAGGTCTGCTTTTTTCTTGGAAGTCTATTCAGATGTTCTATCCTTCTCAAGTCAATTTCAGTAATGTGTGTCTTTCTAGGAATTTGTCTGTTTCATCTAAATTATCCTAATCTCTTGGTATACAGTTATTCCTTATGCTTTTTCCATAATGTCTGTAGTAATGCTCCTTCTTACATTCATGAGAGATCTGTTTTTTAATATCTCAAACTGGTCCCCTTCATCCCTAACCAGATGTGATTGTGCCTTTTAGTAAGTTAGGCAGCTGGCCAGGCGTGGTGGCTCGTGCCTGTAATCCCAGCACTTTGGGAGGCTGAGGCAGGTGGATCACGAGGTCAGGAGTTTGAGAGCAGTCTGGCCAACATAGTAAAACCCCATCTCTACTAAAAAGCTAAAAATTAGTGAGTGTGGTGGTGTGCTCCTGTAATCCCAGCTACACAGGAGGCTGAGACAGAAGAATCGCCTGAACCCGGGAGGTGGAGGTTGCAGTGAGTCTAGATTGCACCATTGCACTCTCGCCCAATAAACAGTGTGAGACTCCGTCTCAAAAAAAAAAAAAAAAAGAAAAATTGTCAGGCATGGTAACACACACCTGTGATCCCAGCTACTTGGGAGGCTGAGGCAGGAGAATCACTTGAACCTGGGAGGCAGAAGTTGCAGTGAGCCAAGATTGTGCCACTGCACTCCAGTCTGGGTGACAGAGCGAGACCCTGTCTCTCCCCACCAAAAAAAAAAAAAGAAGAAAAAGTGGGGCTGAGAATCCTCCCCATACGTCAGGTCTTTCTCTCTCCCAACGATCAGAGGATAGATAGTATGGAGCAAAATACTAGTCCTGGAGTACAGTCCTGGAGCAAAATTCATACTAAAGAGCAAATGACTGAAAACTGCTAACTTCCCAAGAGGAAGTGGAGGATACCACCTAGGATAAGAATGCTCTGCTCCCAGGACTCTCCTGCCCTGTGTGGTGGCTAGGGGAGACACTTAGGAATACCCAGAGCTGGGCCTAGAGGAGGCAAGCAAAGAGCCCAGGGTGCAGCGTTTGAGGAGGCTCTCATGCTCAGGCTTGTGGAAGCGCAGGGCTGGCCCCTGAGAGCAAGTGGCTCGTCATGCCCAGTTGTCTCACTTGCTTTACCCCAGTGTTAGCCCTGCAGAAACCTAAGGTTTCTGAGAACATACTTTGAAAACCTCCAACGAAATTAAACCCCCTTTACTGTTTGGTATCTTTTTTTGTAGTTGTTTCTTTTCAATGCTTATGGGAACATTTCACATGGTCTTTAAAAAAAATAAAACTGTAGAAAAGTATTTTATTAAAAAAAAAATGGGCTGGGTGTGGTGGCTCACACCTATAATCTGAGCACTTTGGGAGGCTGAGGTAAGAGGATCGCTTGAGCTCAGGAGCTTGAGACCAGTCTGGGCAACATGGTGAAACCCTGTCTCTAATAAAAATTCAAAAAAATAGCTGAGTGTGGTTGCCCGCACCTGCAGCTGCTCGGGAGGCTGAGGTGGGAGGATCACTTGAGCCTGGGAGGTCAGAGCTGCATTGAGCTGTAATTACACCATTTCATTCCAGCCTGATTGACAGAGTAAGACCCTGTTTCATAAAAATAAAAAATAAATGTTACTGTGTATATTTAAGGTATATAACATATTATTGGATACATATAGATATTAAAGTGGTTACTATAGTGAAGCAAATTAACATATCATCTCACATAGTTACCCTTTTTTTTTTTTTTTTGGTGGCAAGAGCCTCTAAAATCTGCCCATTAGCAGGAATCCCAAATACAATACAATTTTTTTTTTTTTTAGATGGAGTCTGGCTCTGTCGCCCAGGCTGGAGTACAGTGGCAAGATCTTGGCTCACTGCAACCTCCACCTCCCAGGTTCAAGCAATTCTCCTGCCTCAGCCTCCTGAGTAGCTGGGATCACAGGTGCCTACCACCACACTCAGCTAATTTTTTGTATTTTTAGTAGACACAGGGTTTCACCATGTTGATCAGGCTGGTCTCAAACTCCTGACCTCAAGTGATCCAGCTGTCTTGGCCTCCCAAAGTGCTGCGATTACAGGCGTGAGCCAGTGCCCCCAGGCCCCAATATAGTACAATTCGATTCCCTGGAGTCCTCATGTTATACCTTAGAGCCCTAGACCTGCTCATCCTCCATATCAGCTACTTGCTATCCCTTGACTTCCATGCCCTGTTTCCTTTTCCCTACACCCGACCTGCCCCTGATAACCACTGTTTTATTCTCTATCTCTGTATAGTTGATTTTCTCTCTTTTTTTGAGACAGAGCCTCCCTCTATTGCCCCAGCTGGAGTGCAGTGGTGTGATCTTGGCTCACTGCAACCTCCATCTCCCAGGTTCAAGCGATTCTCCTGCCTCAGCCTCCCAAGTAGCTGGGGTTACAGGTGCCTGCCACCATGCCAGGCTAATTTTTGTATTTTAGTAGAGATGGGGTTTCACCATGTTGACCAGACTGGTCTCAAACTCTTGACCCCAAGTGATCCACACCCCTCAGCCTCCTAAAGTGCTGGAATTACAGGCATGAGCCACCACACTCAGCCCCTCAATTTCTTCATCCGTTCATCTGTCAGTGAACACTTAGCTGGTTTCCAAATCTTGGCTGTTGTGAATAATGCCGCGATGAATGTGAGAGTGCGGTTGTCTTTACGAGGTGGTGATTTTATTTCCTTTGGGAGTATGCCCAGAAGAGGGATTGCTGGGTCCTGTGGTAGTTCTATTTTTAACTTCTTTAGAAACCTTCATTCTTGTTTTCCATAGTGGCTGTACCAATCCACATTCCCGAGAATAGTGTAACCAATAACATCACCTTTAAAAAAATACTTTCTAGAAAGCTAAGACAATTTATAAGACATATAGGAAAGCAGAGGAAATAAAGCAATGAACAGACCGATCACTTTGCTTTAATAACTGTTAACATTTGCGTTATTTGCTTCACCACTTCCCTCCCGAAGTATTTGAAGATGAATTACAGATGTCACAACATTTCACCCTTAAATACTTCCGTTTGCATATTTTAAACTTAAACATTTTCTTTCACAGTCATAAGACTAGTATTACACCTTACAAAATTAATAATGTTTCCTTGATATTACACAATACCTAGTCCACATTAACATGTACCTGGTTGGCCCTAAAATGTCTTTTGAGGGCAGATCCAATCGAGGTTCACAGAATTGTTAGGTCTCTCAAATTTCTTTAATGGAGAACAGTGGCTCTCCATTGGGAGTGATTTTGCTTCCAAAGGATGTCGTCCCCAAAAGGAGACAGTGTTGGTTGTCATAACAGGGTTGGAGGTGCGGGTGCTGCCTGCATGTAATGGGTGTTTAATATCCCACAAGGTATAGGACAGCCCCCTATTGCAAAGAATCATCCAGCCCAAAAATGGCAATAGTGCTGAGTTTGAGAAACCCCGCTTGAAAACAGCCCCACCCCATTTTTGTTCTTGCTATCAATTTGTTGAAGAGTCCAAGACAATCGTCCTGTAGGAAGTTCTATTAATACCTTCTCAGTTCGGCTGATTGTTTCCTAAAGTGTCATTTAGCTTGTCCCCCCTCCCCTGTTAATTTCCTAAAACTGGAAGTTAGCTCTAAAAGTAGTTGAAGAATTTGAAATCCAGGAAAAACGATCCACCAGAGGGCACTTGGCCATTCAACTGGCTCCAACCATTCTTCCGTGGCCCTTGGGTGTGCAGTGGGGCAAAGACCTGCCAGCCCTCCAGGTGCCTTCTGGAAGCTTGTCTTACATCCCAGAAATTAGCCCAGTTTTGAAGCATGGCACTTTCCACAGGTCACTGTTCACTTTGACAAGATGCTGACGACGAATGCGAAGCTCCGGAAGGAGATTGAAGACCTACGATTTGAGAAGGCTGCTTATGACAATGTCTACCAGCAGCTCCAGCGGCGCCTGTTAATGCAGAAGAAAACCATGAACTTGGCCATTGAGCAATCTTCTCAGGCCTATGAGCAGAGGTGGGCTGGGGAAAGGTCCAGGGGCAGTGAGGTCTCTTAGCCCCTTGCTGAACATCTAGCTTCCTACTCTGGGCCACCTCTTCCCCTGGCGCTTATGTGTTGGGGGATCTTAAATCAGAATAGTAATAATTCTGAGCACTGACTGTGTGCTAGGCATGAGCTAGGTACTCTGGTAGGTATTGTTTTAAGTCTCATAACTGCCCTAGGAGTTATTATGCCCATTGTACAGACTAGGACATGGAGGCTTAGAGATGCTACAATGCCTACCTGAGATCCAGGTAAGTGGTGATTGTGGTGAAGTTGAGAATCAAACCTCAGTGCTGTACCATCTCTCCAAGTGCCCCTGCCTCTAGTCCAAGGGGGTCTTTCTCAGTCTGGGCCTCTGCTGGATCCACACTCAAAGGAGAAAAAGGCATATAGTTTGTCTGTGAAGAGCACAGGCTTTAGAGTCAGAAAGATACGGGTTTAAATCCTGGTTCCATCACTACTATATTGTTGTAGGACCTCTTTAGATGATAAAGAGGATTAAATAATATATAAATGTAAGGTAGTGCCTGGGACACAGTAATGGATAAGTGGTGATAGTGGTGATGATGATGATGATGGTGACGGCAGTGGTGGTGGTGGTAACGAGGGTGATAATGCTGATGGTAATGATAGTGATTGTGGTGATGGTGGTGGTGATGATGGTGATGCTGATGATAGTGGTGATTAGGAAGTTAATGATAATGATGGTGATGGTAATGGTATTGATGGTGATGGTGGTAATGATGACAGTGATGTTGATGTGATGGTGGTGATGATGATAGTGGTGATTAGGAAGGTGATGATGGTGAGGTGGTAGTGGTGGTGATGGTGGTGGTGATGGTGATGGTGGTGATGATAGCGGTGATAATAGTAATGGCAGTGGTGGTGATGATGGCGACAGTAATGATGATGGTATGGTAATGATGATGGTGATAATGGTGATGGTGGTGGTGATGGTAGTCATGGTAGTGATGGTGACAATGGTGGTGGTGATGGTGATGATGCTGATGGTGGTGATAAGGATGGTGATGGTTGTGATGATGGTGATGGTGGGGTGATGATGGTGATGGTGGTGATGGTGGGGGTGGTAGTGGTGATAATGGTAATGGTAGTGGTGAGGATGATGGTGATAGTGATGATGGTGATGGTGGTGATGATGGTGATAATGGTGATGATAATGGTGGTGATGATGGTCATGGTAAGGATGGTGATCATGGTGGTGATGGTGATGATGATGATGGTGGTGATGAGGATGGTGATGGTTGTGATGGTGGGATGGTGATGATAGTGGTGATAATGGTGATGTGGTGAGGGTGCTGATGGTGACAGTGATAATGATGGTGATATTAGTGAGATGGTGATAGTGGTAATGGTGGTGATGGTGGTGGTGGTTATGGTTATGGTGATGGTGAAAGTGGTGATGGTGATGGTAGTGATGATGGTGATGATAGTGGTGGTAGTAATGAGCTAGGTACTCTGGTCAGTATCATTTGTATGCTGGTGATGGTGATGATGGTGGTGATGGTGGTCATGGTAATGATGATGGTGATGGTAATGATTATGGTGATGGTGGTGGTAGTGATCTATGCTGGTGGTGGTGATGGTGGTGATGGTATTGATTATGGTGATGGTGATGGTGGTGATGATGGTGGTGGTGGTGATGGTGGTGGTAGTGATGCTAGTGATAATAATGGTGATGGTGGGGATGATGGTGACAGTGATGATAGTGATGATCATGATGGTAGTGATGATGGTGATAATGGTGATGATGATAGTAGTGATGGTGATGGTGATAATGGTGGTGGTGGTGATGGTGGTGGTGATGATGGTGGTGATGGTATTGATTATGGTGATGCTGGTGGTGATGATGATGGTGACAGTGATGTTGGTGATGGGAGTGATGATGGTGTTAATGGTGATGGTGATAATGGTGATGATGATAGTAGTGATGGTGATGGTGATAATAGTGGTGGTGGTGATGGTGATAATGGTGGTGGTGGTGATGGTGGTGGTGGTGATGGTGATGGTAGTGATGATAGTGATGATAATAGTGATGGTGGTAATGATGATGGTGACAGTGATGATGATGACAGTGATGGTAGTGATGATGGTGATAATGGTGATGATGACAGTAGTGATGGTGATGTTGATAATGGTGGTGGTGGTGATGATGATGGTGGTGATGATGAAGGCAATGATGATGATGATAGGAAAATCATTTCTGGGGGTGATCTAGAGCTTACAGCTCCGTCGTTCAGATAAGGAGGGTTGTTTTTACACACCCAGAAACCTTTATGATTAACAAAAATGATAGTCATTGTCTAGGCAGGAGGACTGGCAGGGAAAGGGAAGCAGAGGGGAGGAGCCTCGGATGCTCAGGCTCTGTACCTTCTTTGCCCAGGGTGGAGGCCATGGCTCGAATGGCTGCCATGAAGGACCGCCAGAAGAAGGACATCTCTCAGTACAACCTGGAGATCCGAGAGCTGGAGCGTCTCTACGCCCACGAGAACAAGCTCAAGTCCTTTCTGCTCGTCAAGCTGAATGACCGCAGTGAATTCGAGGAGCAGGCCAAAAGGGAGGAAGGTATTCTCTCCTGGAGCAAGCTCGTGCGCTCTCGCTCTCTTTCCTGCCCTCTTTTACTCTGTCTCTCTCTTTAAGTGCAGGTTCCCAAGTCTCCTTGTGGTCGCCAAATTTAGCAAATAAAGATACAAGATGCCTAGTTACAGTCGGCCGTGGTGGTTCATGTCTGTAATCCCAGCACTTTGGGAGGCTGAGGCAGGCTGATCATTTGAGGTCAGGAGTTTGAGAACAGCCTGATCAACATGGTGAAACCCCATCTCTACTAAAAATATAAAAAAATTAGCCGGGCATGGTGGTAAGTGCCTGTAATCCCAGTGACTTGGAAGGCTGAGGCAGGAGAATCGCTTGAACCCGGAAGGTGGAGGTTGCAGTGAGCCAAGATTGTGCCACTGCACTCCAGCCTGGGCAACAGAGTGAAATTTGGTCTCCAAAAAAAAAAAAAAAAAAAAAAAAAGAAAAGAAAGATGCCTAGTTAAATTTAAATATCAAATAAACAATAAATAAATGTTTAGGATAAGCATACAGTATTTGGGACTTACTTATGATAAAACTTTTTTGTTGTTTATCTATAATTGGGAAATATTTATACTTAAAAATACATTTATCTAACATTCAAATGTAACTGGGAACCCTCTATTTTATCTGCCAACCCTAACTAACAGCATGTGTCCTCATTTGGGGCTTTCTTTCTGTTGCTTAGGGGGAGACTTGTATGTCAGGGATCCCCAGGTTCATCTCTAGGTTTGATGATTCACTGGACTACCGCAGGACTCAGCACAGGAGCACATTCATCGCTGGGATGCGTTACAGTGAAAGGTGCCAAGCAAGATCAGCACAGGGAGAAGTGTAGGCCAACGTCTGGAGGAAACTGGTCACAAGCTTCCAAGCAGAGTTACGCTGAGCACACGTGGTCCTTCAAGGATCTCACTATGACCACACGTGTCAAGAGTTATCTAGTCGGCTGGGCATGGTGGCTCATGTCTGAAATCCCAGTGCTTTGGGAGGCCAAGGCGGGGGAATTTCACCTGAGGCCAGGAGTTTGAGACCAACCTGGGCAATAGAGCAAGACCCCATCTCTATAATAAATTTAAAAAAATATTAGTTGGGCATAATGGTACATGCCTGTGGTCCCAGCTACTCGGGAGGCTGGGAGGATGGCTTGATCCCAGGAGGTCTGATGGTGACAAGGTGCTGAGGGGTAGAAGGCAGATCCTAAGCCCCAGAGTTTGAGGTTGCAGCAAGCTATGGTTGCACCACTCTAGCCAGAGTGACAGAGTGAGACCCTGTCTCTTAAAAAAAAAGGGTTGTTTTATAGTCGGGTATACTAGAGACTCAGTGCCCCACATTCTTACCGGGGGCTGGTCATGTACACACCTCTGCCTAGCACATACCCAAATCCGAGACTCCCAGAGGAAAAGCAGGCGTTTGGCATAAACTGCCGGCCATGGTGGCACTTGCCTGTGGTCTCAGCTACCGGGGAGGCTGAGGTGGGAGGATCGCTCGAGCCTCACCAGAACAGTGGGGAGTGGCAACCTGTTAGGAGGTCACGTGGTCAAGTGTGCCCAAAAGATTCTTTTTTTTTTTTTTTTTTTTTTTTTTTAAGAAAGGGTCTTGCTCTGTCTCCCAGGCTGGAGTGCAGTGGTGTGACAGTCATAGCTCACTGCAGTCTTGATCTCCTAGGCCCAAGACATCCTCCCACCTTGGCTTCCCAAGTAGCTAGGACTAACCAGGCACTCACCACCAGACTTGGCTAATTTTTAGATGTTTTGTAGAGATGGGGTCTTGCTATGTTGTCCACACTGGTCTCGAGCTCCTGGGCTCAAGTGATCCTCCCGCCTTGGCCTCCCAAAGTGCTGGGATTACAGGTGTGAGCCACCATACCCAGCCGGGATAGGGATTTTGTATCAGCGGTGATTAGCACAGTGTATGGCTCATAGTAAATGCTTCACAAGATAAAGTTTGTAAAATGAGTGACGGGTGAAGCTCCTGCTTCTATGTCCTGGAAACATCTGGCCTCATCTCTAAGGCATCATCATCATCATAATTATGTATATATCTTTTGAGATGGAGTCTCGCTCCATCTCCCAGGCTGGAGTGCAGTGGCGCAAACTTGGCTCACTGCAACCTCTGCCTCCCGGGTTCAAGCAGTTCTCCCGCCTCAGCCTCCTGAGTAGCTGGGATTACAGGCATGTGCACACCTGACTAATTTTTGTATTTTTAGTAGAGATGAGGTTTCGCTATGTTGGCCAGGCTGGTCTCGAACTCCTGACCTCAGGTGATCCGCCTGCCTTGGCCTTGCAAAGTTCTAGGATTACAGGCATGAGCCACCAAGCCTGGCCATAATAATAATATTGATCATGTGACTGTCTGCCTGGCACGGATCTGAGGCGCTTCCTTTGAATGTCACCGTGACTGATGTTTCCTTTTCTAGCTGTCAAGGCAAAGAAGCATGTGAAGAAGAGCACGGGAGAGAGTTTTGAGAGTTACGAGGTGGCCCACCTGCGGCTGCTGAAGCTGGCGGAGAGCGGGAACCTGAACCAGCTCATTGAAGATTTTCTGGCCAAGGAGGAGCAGAATTTTGCTCGGTTCACGTATGTCACGGAGCTCAACAACGACATGGAGATGATGCATAAGAGGACCCAGCGAATCCAGGTCAGGGTGGCTCTGCTCTCCCAGGCCCTGGGTCCCCTCTGTCCACAGCAGCTCTCCCAGAGCAGTCTCCAGGAAGGCTCCGTGAGAGGCGCCCAGAAGGTGGTTTGCCCAGCACTGCTCTCTTCCTCCAGTGCTCCCCTACATTTTATTTTATTTTATTACTTTTTTTTTTCTTGAGACAGAGTCTTACTGTGTCGCCCAGGCTGGAGTGCAGTGGCACGATCTCAGCTCACTGCAACCTCTGCCTCCTGGGTTCAAGCGATTCTCCTGCCCCAGCCTCCTGAGTAGCTGGGACTACAGGTACCCGCCACCATGCCCGGCTACTTTTTGTATTTTTTTTTAGTAGAGATGGGGTTTCACCATGTTGGCCAGGATGGTCTCATTCTCCTGATCTTGTGATCCGTCCACCTCAGCCTCCCAAAGTGCTGGGATTACAGACATGAGCCACTGTGCCGGCCTATTTTATTTTATTTTATTTTTAAGACAGGGTCTCTGTCTGTTACCCCGGCTGGAGTGCAGTGGTGCGATGTTGGCTCGCTGCAGCCTCCACCTCCTGGGCTCAGATGATCCGTACAGCTCAGCCTCCTGAGTAGCTGTGACGATAGGTGTGCACCGCCATGTCCAGCTGATTTTTGTATTTTTTGTAGAGTTGGGAGTTTGCCATGTTGCCCAGGCTGGTCTTGAACCCCTGACCTCAAGCAATCCTCCTGCCTTGGACTCCCAAAGTACTGAGATTACAAGTGTGAACTGTTGTGTCCAGTGTCCCCTTGCTTTTTATTTGTATTTTTTTTTTGAGATGGAGTCTTGCTCTGTCACCCAGGCCAGAGTGCAGTGGTGTGATCTTGGCTCGCTACAGCCTTCTCCTCCTGGGTTCAAGCAATTCTCCTGCCTCAGCCTCCGGAGTAGCTGGGACTACAGGTGCGCACCACCACGCCCGGCTACTGTTTTTTGGATTTTTACGACAGACAGGGTTTCACCATGTTGGCCTGGCTGGTCTCAAACTCCTGGCCTCAAGTGGTCCGCCCACCTCGGACTCCCAAAGTGCTGGGATTACAGATATGAGCCACCGTGCTGGCCTGTAACTGTCTTTCAATAGATGCGTACATTTAATGTATTCATGTCCCCCAACCCAATAGTGACATTGCAATCCATGGCATGTTTTATAAACCAGCATTCAGTAAACTATGGTCCATGGCTGTTTTTGTCTAACCCATGAGCTAAGAATGATTTTTACATTTTTAAAGGATTGTAAGAAGAAAAATAAGAGAGAGAAATATGCAAGAAAGACCTGTAAAGCTGAAAGGATTTATTATTTGGCCCCTTTCCTGGCCCTTGTTACTTAACAGCTGCATAGAATTGAGGAGAGAGAACTCATTCTCATCTTGGCAAGACCTGACGCACATGAGTGTAGTAAAGGCCCTGATAAGTCCTGCAGCAAGGAAACCTGCCTATCTTTGTTGAACCTATGATTTCCCAAATATCATTGGCTTCCTGGGGTACTTACACCCCAGTACATAAATAAACATCCCTTAGAACTGTCTGCATGGAATAGAGTCTAAACCCCTTAGTGTGACATTCCAGCCCCTCAAAATTTGGCTTATACCTGCTTTTGCCAACGCAGGTCCTGTTATGACCCCTAGGACAGCCTCGGCTGCCACCAGTCCCAGCTGCCCCATGCTGTTCCCTCCTCCAAGTGCCTTCGCCGTGCCGTTCCCTCTCCCTCCTGTCCCTTCTCTTCTGATGGAATCCTGCTCATTAGTCCTGCCCCTACACAAGCGTTGCCTCCTCTGGGAATTCATGACTCCTTCCTCTGAGGGCCCTGTCCTCTGCTTATGTGACCAGGGGAGCTGCTTTCCTTTGCAGTATGTCACCGGTTCCCACATGTGGGGCATGTGCTGTACGCTGGCCATGTGCAGATAGACTGCAGCAAGACTATAGGTGAAAACATTTTAATTGACTAGTGATGAATTAATTTTTAAGGGAATAATAGAGCTTGCAGAGCCAACTTGTGATTTAATGAATATTTACTTATGGTAGTAAGTAATAGTAACGGTAAACAAAGAATAATAAACAGAGTACAATAAACAGAATGGCTAGATTTACAGAAAACTATTATAGATAACAACAGTCCAGCGGGCTGCAGAAAATGCAGTGAAGCTGATTTTATCAGTTAGGATTGTCACAGGAAATAGACGGCACAGCCAACATGGGTAAATTGGCCAGGCGTGGTGGCTCACACCTGTGATCCCAGCACTTTTTGGGGCTAAGGTAGGTGGATCACCTGAGGTCAAGATTGGGAGACCAGCTTGGGCAACATGGTGAAACCCTGTCTCTACTAAAAATACAAAAAATGAGCTGTGTGTGGTGGCGCACGCCTGCAATCCCAGCTACTCGGGAGACCGAGGCACGAGAATCCTTTGAATCCAGGAGATGGAGGCTGCAGTGACCCAAGATGGCGCCACTGTGCTCCAGCCTGGGAGATAGAGGGAGACTCTTTCTCAAAAAACAGACAAATAAAACCTCAACCCCCCCAAACCACCGAAAAACAAAAATAAAATGGATAAACTGAGGAGAGGGTTTTGTTTTGTTTTGTTTTTGTTTGTTTGTTTTTGAGATGGAGGCTCACTCTGTTGTCCAGGCTGGAGTGCAGTGGCGTAATCTTGGCTCACTGCAACCTCCACCTACCGGGTTCAAGTGATTCTCCCGCCTCAGCTTCCTGAGTAGCTGGGATTACAGGCACATGCCACCATGCTTAGCTAATTTTTGTATTTTTAGTAAAGATGGGGTTTCACCATGTTGGTCAGGCTGGTCTCGAACTCCTGACCTCGTGATCTGTCTGCCTTGGCCTCCCAAAGTGCTGGGGTTACAGGCTTGAGCCGCCACGCCTGGCCGAGGAGAGTTTTTAAAAAGGGACTGTTTCTAGCAGTCCAAGGAAATGAAGAAGGAAGCATGCAGGAATAGCTGGAGCTCCAGAATAGATCAGAGGAGGGAGTGGCTTTTGGAATCTGGAGAGAGGAATGGGGAGATGGCTGCCTGTGCCGCCCTTCCTGGAGGGGTGCAGCCACGCTAGGGACAGGCCCAGTGGGTGGCACACACCCCAGCCTCCCTCTCCTCCCACCCTTCACCTCCCTCTTGGGCCTCCCACTGGCTGGGCCCCCAGCAGCCAAGCGCAAGGGAGCCCGTAGGTGCAGGCCCTGCAGGTCCCAGGCAGGACAGGGGATGGTACAGGGTGGGATCTGTACCCGGACTGCAGGGAAGACAGATCAAATGACCCTGCTGCTCCCCATCCTCCTCCCGGGAGGAGGAAGGCACAGACCCTGATGCCTCTCAGTCCTCCTTCCATGATGAGGAAGGCCAAGGAAATGGTTCTTCGCCAGAAGTGACCTTGACCTCCCATTCACCTTGAGGCTGCTCTCTCCTTTCCTCCCGCAGCCACACAGCGTCTCCCGCCCTGGGACAAGTGCGGCCGCTCTGGGACTCAGTCTCTCTCTCTGTAGAATGGCACACATGCTTGGACTGAAGGAGTCCTCCAAGTCCAAATTCATTTTATAATAACAGTTTCAAACTTTTATTTAAAAGGCTACACATTTTTCTGGAGACAGAGTCTTGCTCTGTCGCCCAAGCTCATTGCAATCCTGGGTTCAAGCGATTCTCCTGCCTCAGCCTCCTGAATCGCTGGAACTACAGGCACCTGCCACCACACCTGGCTAATGTTTGTATTTATAGTAGAGACAAGGTTTCACCGTGTTGGCCAGGCTGGTCTCGAACTCCTGAACTTAGGTGATCCGCCTGCCTCAGCCTCCCAAAGTGCTGGGATTACAGGTGTGAGCCACCGTGCCTAGCCATGAAAACCATTTTTGTTTAATCCCATATTACGAGGAAACACTGGTATATAAAACAGGAAAGGGAGCAGACCTGGATGAAGGAGTGGGGGTGGGATGGACGACGGGAGGGGCCGGGACCAGACCTTTTTGCTTTCTTGTTGCACCTTTGCTCAAACTAAGGTTTAATTTTTTTTTAAAAATTCATAATAGGACTATAACATCTGACTTCACCCCTCCCTAGTGACTGGGGTGGAGTCTCATAAACCGGCTTAAACCAGCCTTCTTTTTTTTTTCTTTTTCTTTCTTCTTCTTCTTCTTCTTTTTTTTTTTTTTGTTTGTTTGTTTGTTTTTTGTTTGAGACAGAGTCTCTCTCTGTTGCCCGGCAGTTAGTTGTGTGATCTTGGCTCACTGTAACCTCGGCCTCCCGGGTTCAAGTGATGCTCCTGTATCAGCCTCCTGAGTAGCTGGGACTACAGGCGTGTGCCACTGTGCCCAGCTAATTTTTGTATTTTTAGTAGAGATGGGTTTTCACCATGTTGACCAGGATGGTCTCGATCTCTTGAGCTTGTGATTCACCCACCTCGGCCTCCCAAAGTGCTGGGATTACAGGCGTGAGCCACCGCGCCCTGTCCCAACCTTCTTTTTTTTTTTTTTTTTTTTAGGGCAGGGTCTCACCCTGTCACCTGGGCTGGAGTGCAGTGGCATGATCTTGGTTCACCGCAGCCTCGATCTCCCCGGGCTCAGGGGATCCTCCCATCTCAGCCTCCTGAGGACAACAGGCTCACACCACCACCGCCAGCTCACTTCCGTATTTTTTGTAGAGATGGGGTTTCACCTCCCCAAGTTAAATTCTTAGTGCGGTGATTTAAAAACCAGGATATTGCACATGAAAATCTGAATTTCTGCTTTTTCATGGAAAATCAGATCTGTCGACTCCCGCCCACATTGCCGCGGGAATCCCACTTCCTACACACGGGGCCACCCGCCGGCTCCTCGCTCCGCGAGACCCGCACGGCCAGCGCTCCCGCGCCTCTGCCTTTGCGACCCGGGGTTCAGGCGCGCCGTCACTGTCCTCTGGCGGCCATGTGCGGTACTGCAGGGAAGCTCTTTGCAGGCAAGCCTGGAAGTGAGCAGGGCCCTGAATTCACGGGTGCCAGCGGGGACATTGAGGACAAGCCCTAGCAGAGGGGTGTGAGGACCCCGGCCGGATACCCTGACCTGACAAGAAAATGTTCCTAAGCTGATTTGGCCTTGATTTACCTCCCTCCCCATAAGGGGACCCTCTTCCTTAGAGTCATGACAATGTGTTGAAGATGGGTTGGTTAGTGCTCCCCTCTCTGGGCCTCAGTTTCCCCATCTGTAGAGTGATGTTTGGATCAGAATAGTAGCTTCCAAGCTCTTTGTTAAAGTTACAGAACTGTGCCTTTTGGGACTCAAATAGAGCTGCAAACGCCTGTTGAATTAGGCCAGAGAGCACTGATTTCCAATAGTAAGACTTAATTTTGTAAAAAATATTACAGGACAAAGATATGCTCACTGCAGAAAATCTGGAAACCAACTAAGGATGGAAGGAGTTTTCAGCCACCCACTATCCCATTGCCCGAGACGACCACTGGTGACATTCTGAAATATTTCCTTCCAACTTCCAACGTTTTCATTTTGGTGGCGGTTGTGCTTTTCTTTCTCTCTTTTTTAGGGCAGGGTCTCACACTGTCACCCGGGCTGGAGTGCAGTGGCATGATCTTGGCTCACTGCAGCCTCGATCTCCCTGGGCTCAGGTGATCCTCCCATCTCAGCCTCCTGAGTAGCTGGGACCACAGGTGCACACCACCACAGCCATTGTATTTTTTGTAGAGATGGGGTTTCACGATGTTGTCCAGGCTGGTCTCAATGGCTGTGCTTTTAAAGTGTAATAATTATTATCACATAAAGTTGCATATCTGATTGAACATATGTCCTTTTGGTTATTCATTCATCCAGCAAGTATTTATTGAGCACCTAGTGTGTTCCAGGCACTGCACTAGACCCTGGTAATGTGGCAGTGAACAGAATGACAAAAAGCTCAGCCCTCCTGAAACTGATGTCTTGGTCAGGAGAAACAGACAATCAACAACAAGCCCAGTACTTACAGAAATTGTAGAGTAAGTTAGAAAGGGAGATGTAGTGTGGGTAAAAAGAGAAGAACAGCGTTTTGGAACCGGTTGGGGGCTTGGGCAGTTGGGGAGTTAAGATCTGAATGAACTTTCAGGTGAGGGATTGGGCTGTCCAGATCTCTGGGGAAGAGTGCTCCAGTCAGAGGAAACAGCACGTGCAAAGGCCCTGAGGCAGCTTGCAAGCAGGCCAGGGTGTCTGGCGTGCAGAGATAGACATGGGAGGAAGGGGGGATGAACTGGGAGGTGAGGAATGCTGGGCACATTTCCAGAAGGGATTTTGATCATTCCTCCAAGAGGCAGGGGCTCTGGGAGATCTCCGAGCAGGCGAGCAGTGCCATGGACCCAGGTTACTGATGCAATTTGCAAAATACTAAAAGGTCTCCATATAAACCCAGGAAGAATGGCATCACCTGGATAGGGCGTTGGCTCATCGTTTTGCCCGAGCTCCCCCTGCCCTTGCTCTGTAAAGATCAAAAGACTCACTTTCTGTTTTTTTCCAAAATACTTTTTTTCTGATTAGAATTTTTTTTTTCACAATTTGGAAAATACTAAAAAGCATAAATACAACCTTCACATCAGGAATAATTCCATCACATGGATATAGCATTCTTTCATCTTTTTGGTACAGTTCTTTCCTGCTTTTTGAAAAATTAAAAATCTCCACTTTGGGAGGCCAAGATGGGAGGATCACTTGAGCCCAGGACTTTGAGACCAGTCTGGGCAACATAGCGAAACTTCATCTCTACAAAAAAAATACAAAACACGAAAGGAAATTAGCTGTGTGTGATGGTGTGTGCCTGTAGTCCCAGAGACTCAGGAGGCTGAGGTGGGAGGACTGCATGAACCCGGGAGGTGGAGGTTGCAGTGAGCTGAGATTGCACCACCGTACTCCAGCCTGGGCAACAGAGTGAGACCCTGTCTCAAAAACAAAACAAAACAGGTGCCTTTGGCCAGGTACAGTGGCTCACACCTGTAATTCCAGCACGTTGGGAGGCTGAGGCAGGAGGATTGCTTGAGCACAGGAGTTCAAGACCAGCCTGGGTAACTTAGTGAGCCTGTGTGTCTACAGACAATTTTTTTTTTTTTTTTTTTTTTTGAGACGGAGTTTCACTCTTGTTACCCAGGCTGGAGTGCAATGGCGCGATCTCGGCTCACCGCAACCTCCGCCTCCTGGGTTCAGGCAATTCTCCTGCCTCAGCCTCCTGAGTAGCTGGGATTACAGGCACGCGCCACCATGCCCAGCTAATTTTTTGTATTTTTAGTAGAGACGGGGTTTCACCATGTTGACCAGGATGGTCTTGATCTCTTGACCTCGTGATCCACCCGCCTCGGCCTCCCAAAGTGCTGGGATTACAGGCTTGAGCCACCGCGCCCGGCCTGTCTACAGACAATTTTTAAAAATTAAACAATTAGTCTAGCATGGTGGCATGTGCCTGTGGTCCCAACTACTTGAGAGGCTGAGATGGGAGGATCGCAGTCCAGGCTTCGGTAAGCCCATGATCACGCCATGCACTCCAACCTGGGTGACAGAGAGAGACGCTTTCTCAAAAAAAAAAAAAAAAAAAAAAAAAAAGAGCACACTGCCAGATCCCCTCTCATACCTACAGACCTGGCTTCTCTGTGGATGGGCCGGGAATCTGCACTTTAGCCACATTTTAACCCAAGACCCTCTCCCCTGTTTTAGGAATGTGCCGTCATTGATTAACTGAACTTAGCAGTAGACATTCGGATTGTCCCCAACTGGAGGCCTCTATAAACCATAATACAACAGACCGCCCTGAGGGGCCACCTTCGCCCACCTGTTCTGTATTTCCATGGGACAGACCCCCAGGCCTGAGATGGCTCAGTCGAAGGGTGTGTGCCTTTTTCTATCAGGGCACGTGGTTTAAGGCCTGTGGTTCTCAAAGCTGGTCCCTGGGACAGCAGTGGCAGTATCACCTGAGCACTTGTTAGAAATTCACATTCTTAGGCCCTACCCAGACCAATGGAATCAGAAGCCCTGGACTCGGGGCCTGGCAATCTGCATTTTCACACGGTTTCAGGTGACTCTGGACAGCGTGAGATATGCTCAGATCTGAGAACTCCTGTTCCACAGCCACGCTGTTCAGTACCGTAGCCACCAGCCACGTGTGGCTTTTTAAGTTACATTAACTGAAATTCAACAACATCTAAAAATTAGTTCGTCAGAGGTTGGGTGGGAGTGGCTCATGCCTGTAATCCCAGCACTTTGGGAGGCTGAGGTGGGAGGATTGCTTGAGTTTAGGAGTTCGAGACCAGCCTGGGCAACATAAAAATAAAGAAAAAGAATAAAGAAAAATTCGTTCCTAGTGGCACCAGTAGCATTTCAAGTGCTCAGCACCGTGTTGGCGGTGACTGCGGTATTAGCACGGATAGGACATTACCACCAGCGTAGACAATTCTATTGACTGCATGTTCTAGAATTTTCCAGAAGAGACCAAGGCAGGCAGATTGCCTGAGGTCAGGAGTTTGAGACCAGCCTGGCCAATAGGGTGAAACCCCATCTCTACTAAAAATACAAAAATTAGCCAGGCGTGGTTGTGTGTGCCTGTAATCCCAGCTACTCAGGAGGCTGGGACAGGAGAATCACTTGAACTTGGGAGGCGGAGGAGGTTGCAGTGAGCTGACATCGCGTCACTGCGCTCCCACCTGGGCAGCCAGACTTCGTCTCAAATAAAGAAAAAAGAAAAGGAAAAGGATGACTCTCCCCTCCCGTCCCCTTCCATGCTCTCACCCTCCTTTTACTTAAGAAATATCAGAGAAAAAAAAAAAACACACACACAGGCATAAGAGGGGCCCAGGAGCCAGGAGTTCGGAGGCTCCTTGAAACGGGTCATTGAATTCCTCAACGACTGTTTGAGGCGCAGACTTATTTTTGGGAGCGGCGGGGAGGGAAGAGCCCGCTTTTCCTCATGGTCTTGTTCTCTCCGGAGCAGGACGAGATCATGCTCTTGCGATCCCAGCAGAAATCATCCCACGATGACAACCGCTCTGTCCTGAGACAGCTGGAGGTGAGACCAGGCTCGGGCGGGAGGGATGCGGGCGCGTCTGTTGTCTGTCTCTCTGTCTGACGGGAGCTTCTGTCCGTCCGTCCGTCGGGCATCTGTCAGTTGATTCTCAGGAGCAGTAAGAGGTGTGCCCCGTGGCTCGAGGCTGGCCCAGATCATATCCAGACATGTCCTGACCTTTCGTCCCGGGCACCCTCTGCTCTGGTGTCATTGTAGAAGTCTGTCTCTTCATCCATTCTAAAGTCTCCCCCATTTCAGAGAGTCCAGCCCTGGCTCTCGGGCCTGCAAATTCATCCCCGATGGCTTCCTTCCAGATGGATCTCTGCCTCTTTCCTTCCTTGCCTCTTTCCTCGTCCTGCCTGTGGCCTGTTCTCAATCACTAATAACCAATGCGCACGTTTCTGAAGGAATTACCATGGACGGGCGGTGGGCTAAGAGCCTGGCTTGCGCTTTCCCTGGGTCCTGACAGCAGCCCGATGAGGCAGGTGCTATTGAGCTCCCGTTTTACAGGTGCAGAGACTAAGGGTCACAGAAGTTAAGTCACTTGACCAACATCAGGGAGCTGGGATATTCCACAAGATTTTAGTTTTATTCAACTGCTAATAACAGGGACTCCAAATAACAGTGGCTTAAACAAGACACAAGTTTATTTATTTTAAGAAATAAGTCTGCCAGCCTGTGAAACCCTGTCTCTACTAAAAATGCAAAAATTAGCCAGGTGGTAGTGGCGCACGCCTGTAATCTCAGCTACTCAGGAGGCTGAGGCAGGAGAATCGCTTAAGCCTGGGAGGTAGCGGTTGCAGTGAGCTCAGATCACGTCACTGAACTTCAGTCTGGGCAACAGAGTGAGACCCCATCTCAAAAAAAAGAAAATAAAAAAGGAAAAAAGCCTGGAAATAGGCACTTCAGGGCTGGTATGGCACCTTCATGATGTCATCAGTGATCCGGGCTCCATCTGTCTTTCTGTTTTGCCATCCTGCGTGTGTGACTTACATTCCAAGGTATCTCTTGGTTGCATCATAGCTGCCACATATCCAGCCATCGCATATACATTCCAGATAGGAAGAAAATGGGAGCTGGGAAAGAAAAAAAAAAAAAAAAGGACTCATTAGCAGAGTCAGCCAGCTTAAAAGTTCTTTCCCAGACGTCTCCGTCAATGTAAATAACACTGTATTTACACTTCATTGGCCTCCCCCAGTGCAAGAGAGGTTTGGAAACGTAACTTCTAGTTGGTCACATTGCTGCCCTAAATACATTCAGGCTTTTGTGATTAAGGTATAAGGAGAGGGTGGAGAGCAGATGTCTGACGAAGACCTGGGAATTGCGCTCCCGAGGCGTTGCCCTTCCATTCTCCGTGGCTTTTGTTCTGTCTGACACGCGCCTGGGAGACAGGGCTGGCCACACTAGGGTGTTATTCTCCTCTGAGCCACTGGATGGCACCAAGCACATGCTGCCCATTGAGGTGCGGCATCTCCCGGCTATCTGAGCATGGGGAATAACAGGCTTCCAGGCAGGGTCCGGGTCCACGGAGGCCCTCCCCAGGCTGGGCGGGTGCCTGTCACTCGGGGCCACCCAGAATCCAGACTCTTGTTGGGGTTGAGACTGGTGCCCCTCCCTCTACATCTTGGGGTTTGGAAGAGGCTGACCAAGCAACTCCAAACATCTCCCCAGCTCTGCCCGCAGCCCCTCTGGGGGCTTCTTTTCAAATGCAGATGCTCTAAGCAGGAGAATTGGCCTTTTTTTTTTTTTTTTTTTTTTTGAGATGGAGTCTCACTCTGTTGCCCAGGCTGGAGCGCAGTGGTGCGATCTGAGCTCACTACAACATCCACCTCCCAGGTTCAAGCGATTCTCCTGCCTCAGCCTCCTGAGTAGCTGTGGTTACAGGTGCACACCACCATGCCAACTGCATTTTTAAAATTTTAATTTAATGAATAAAATCTTTTTTTGAGACGGAGTCTGCCTCTGTCACCAGACTGGAATGCAGTGGCACAATCTCGGCTCACTGCAACCTCTGCTTCCCAGTTCAAGCGATTCTCTTGCCTCAGTCTCCAGAGTAGCTGGGATTACAGGCGCGTGCCACCACGCCTGGTTAATTTTTTGCATTTTTAGCAGAGACAGGGTTTTACCATGTTGGCCAGGCTAGTCTCCAACTCCTGACCTCAGGTGATCCGCCTGCCTTGGCCTCCCTAAGTGCTAAGATTATAGGCACGAGCCACCGTGCCTGGCCCGAATTGGTCTTGATAGCAATGGACTCACTGGTGTTTCTTAGCCCTGCTAAAGATCACTTCCACCTGCTCTATTCTTGAAGCCCTTTATTACATCATCTCCTCCTCCTTCGGGAGAAGTGGTGAGACCACATGCATCACAAGAGAGGTTTGCATAGAAATTAAGCAACCAAGCTCTGGGAGTCTGGCTATGGCTTGCAGAAAAGTCACTTCCTGGCTGTATGACTTTGAGATAGTGACTCAACCTCTCTGAGCCTCAGTTTCCTCATCTGTAAAACAGGGATAATAATCATACCACTTCTTAGGGCTGTGAAGATTGAATAAAATCACAGATGTATACCTTTGGCACACCGCAGTGCAGAGAGCTGTACATTGTGGCCATTATTGTTGTTTCTCGTGTGAACCAGAAAACCTCTAAGCCACCCTCACTTTGTTACTAAATCATTGCCCAGGTAGAGCTGAGCTCAAGGTCAAGCCTTCGGATGAGCTCAGGGCAGGGAAGGGAAACATGAGTTTCCTTTCCTCTCTGACCTCAACACTGCTCATCTGAGAACTAGGCTGGTTGTGAACTGAGCTCAGATGATGAGTGTGAAGTACCCGGAATGTTTTAGGAGCTGGGAGCTGGACACGTGTTATCACCATCACATCAAGCTGAATCTTGACTTTTAAAAATGAATCCTGTGTTTTTTAAATGTGATTTTTAATGTACTTTTATTATAATTTATTTTTGGGGCAGAGTCTTGCTCTGTTGCCCCGGCTGAAGTGCAGTGGTGCGATCACAGCTCACTGCAGCCTCCACCTCCCAGGTTCAAGTGACACTCTCAACTCAGCCTCCCAAGTAACTGGGACCCCAGGCACGCACCAGCACACCTGGCTAATTTTTTATTTTTAATTGAGGCAGGGTCTTGCTATGTTGCCCAGGCTGGACTCAAACTCCTGGACTCAAGTGATCCTCCCACCTCAGCCTCCCAGCATGTGGGGATTACAGGCACGAGCCCCCATGCCTGGCCTAATGCCCCTTTAGAGAGGGCCACTCTTGTTGTCATGTGGGAACTTTGCAGCCCTGGGGACTAGACATTTAGTAGCCGGGCAGAGGAAGCCGCCTGCCGCGCTGGTTGAGAGACGGAGTTCCATTCTTCACTGCCTAACCCTCAGTTTTCTCACCTGCAAAATGGAGGTGTGAATAGGGCCGACCCCTTGTGATCATTCTTCAGGATGGTGTATGCAGAGTTCACCTGTGGGAGTCCGGCCGGTTCATCCAGGGTCCAGTTCACCTTTGCAAGCTGAGATCTCCGAGGGCGAGGCAGGAATCAGCTGAAGGAAGTACCCTAGAATGGAGATCCTCATTCCAGCCATGTGTCAGAATCACCTGGGAGGCTTTAACCAAAACTCCCAGATGCCCAGGCTGCGCCCCAGGCCAATTAAGACTGAATCTCTGAGGGTGGGGTTGAGCAGCAAATGGTTTTAAATTTCTCAGGTGATACCAGTGTGAAGCCAAGATTGAGATTCAACAGGCTGGCGGAGGTTCTCAGACTTTACCATGCACCAGGACCGCCCGGAGGCTGGCTAAAACCCAGGTGGCCTGGCTCACCCCCAGGGCTTTTGATTGAGTAGGCCTGAGGTGGGGCCCAAGAATACGCATTTCTAACAAGTTCCTAGGTGATGCTGACGCTGCTTGTCCTGGGACCACACTTCGAGAAGTAGTGTGCGAGGGCAATGTGTTTTAAACTGCGAATGGTGAACTCGGTTTATTGGATGGTAGCCAGCATTTTAAAATAGTGAGAACAGAACAGAAGCGAAAATATGAGAACACATGATAAGAATATTGGTTTGAGGCTGGGTGTGAACGTCGAGAGGCTGAGGCAGAAGGATCATTTGGGCCCAGGAGTTCGGGACCAGCTTGGGCAACATAGTGAGACCTGTCTCTAATTTTGTTTTTTGAAAAAAGAATATTGATTTGAACTGGGCATGGTGGCTCATGCCTGTAATCCTAGCACTTTGGGAGGCTGAAGTGGGAGGATTGCTTGAGCCCCTTGAGCCCAGGAGTTCAAGACCAGTCTGGGCATACAGCAAGATCTCACCCCTACAAATTTTAAAAAAAGATACTTACCTGGGTAAGTATGATTATATTATATTACCTGGGTAAGTATTATTATATTACCTGGGTGTTACATGCTTATAGTCCCAGCTGCTCCAGAGGCTGAGGCAGGAGGATTGCCTGAATCCAGGAGTTGAAGGCTGCCGTGGGCAAGGATTACACCGTTCCGCTCCAGCCTGGGTGACAGAGCAACACCCCAACTGTATCTTTTTAAAAAAGAATATTGATTTGTGAAACTTCTAAATTCATTTGATTCGATAATATAGATAAATTTACATACACAACACAGGTATGTATGTTTGTATGCATTGGCTGCAATGTGTTTCTTCCTGTGGACCACTTTTTCTTGTTTTTTTGTTTTTGAGATGGAGTCTCACTCTGTCACTCAGGCTGGAGTGCAGCGGCTCCATCTTGGCTCACTGCAACTTCCACCTCCCGGAACTGATTCTCCTGTCTCAGCCTCCCCATTAGCTGGGATTACAGGCACGTACCACCATGCCCAGATAATTTTTGTATTTTTAGTATAGACCAGGTTTCGCCACGTTGGCCAGGATGGTCTCAAACTTCTGGCCTCAGGTGGACCACCATGTTTAAAAAAACAAGTCAACTTGCTGGACGAGGTGGCTCATGCCTATAATCCCAGCACGTTGGGAGGCCAAAGTAGGAGGGAGGATTGCTGGAGTCCAGGAGTTTGAGACCAGTCTGGGCAACATGGCAAAACCCTGTCTCTAAAAAAATATAAAAATTAGCTGGGCATGGTGGCAGGTGCTTGTAGTCCTAGCTACTCTGGAGGCTGAGGTGGGAGAATTGCTCGAGCCCAAGAAGTTGAGGCTGCAGTGAGCAGAGATTGGACCACTGCACTCCAGCCTGGAGCCTAGGTAACAGAGTGAGACTCTGTCTCAAAACAAATAATAAACAAAAATAAGAAAGAAAAAAATGTATATATAGTAAGCCGGGCATGGTGGCTCACGCCTGTAATCTCAGTGCTTTGGGAGGCCAACATGGACAGATCACTTGAGGTCAGGAGTTCAAGACCAGCTTGTGCCTCTACTAAAAATACAAAAATACAAAAAAAGAAAAAAAAAAAAAAAAAAAAGCCAGGCACGGTGGCACCTGCTTGTAATCTCAGCTACTTGAGAGGCTGAGGCATGAGAATTGCTTGAACCTGGGAGTCAGAGCCTGCAGTGGGCTGAGATTGTGCCAGTGTACTCCAGCCTGGGCGACAGAGTGAGACTCTGTCTCAAAAAAAAAAAAAAATTGTAATCCTGTACACATGTAGACAGCCATACACACATGTAAGGGAAGCAAAACTTATATCAAACAATATTTACCCTTCAACCCCCAATGTACACTAGTATTTTCTCTTTCCTTCTTTTCTTTGCTATTCTATTTCACTTCTTCAAAATTCGATGGAAGCCCACTTAACTGATCTCACGCCCCCTCAGAGGTTTGAAAGCCGGCGGTTTGGGGCCCTGACTCCAGAAAGTGGCAAACACCCTGTCCACTGAAAATCCTCCTGAGCGGGCGGGAATTGGGGTCTGCCACCAGGATAAACTGAAGAAGACCACGGAGGAGGCAGATATGTATGAGAGCAAGTACAGGGAGGTCAGCAAGACCTTGGAGCTACTCAAGAACTCGGTGGAGAAACTGTTCAAGAAGATAAACTGTGATGCCACCGAGATCCGGGTGCAGTTAGGGGAGACGGGGGAAGTCACCAACACCAACCTTCCGCAGTATTTTGGTGAGTCAAGCTGGGGCCCACTGGACTCTTAGGAGCCATTTCCAGAACTTTCTGTAACTGGGCATGAGGACTTGCTCTTATGCAGTAGTGAGCTTGGTGGCAAAGTGTGTGGGCACTAAAGCCAGCCTGCCTGGTTTCGAATCCTGGTCTACCCTTAATAGCTCTGGAGCCGTGAGCAAGTTTCTTTTTTTGTTTTTGTTTTTGTTTGTTTGTTTCTTTTGAGATGGGGTCTTGCTCTGTTGCCCAGGCTGGAGGGCAGTGGTGCAAACACGGCTCACTGCACTCACAACCTCCCAGGCTCAGGCAATCCTCCCACCTCAGTCTCCTAAGTAGCTGGGACTACAGGCAGGCGCTGCCATGCCCGGCTAAAGTTTTGTGTTTTTTGTAGAGACAGGGTCTTGTCACATTGCCCAGGCTGGTCTCAAACTCCTGAGCTCAAGTGTTTCACCCTCCTTGGCCTCCCAAAGTGCTGGGATTACAGGTATGAGCCACCGCGCCTGGCCAGGGAAGGTTCCTGAACCTCTCTCTGCTTCAGATTTTTGGTCTACAAAAATGGGTATCTTTTAATGCCTTCAGTTTTTTTAAAAAAATTTGGTGTAAACTCAGTATTTACCTCATAGACTGTTGGGAGACTTAAATACATGTGTAGTTATTAGAGAAAAAAATGATATGATCATCTCAATAAATGCAGAAGAAGCGTTTGATAAAATTCAGCATCCGTTCATGATTATAAAAAAGAAAACGCTCAGCAAACTAGAACTAGAAGGAAACGTTCTTAACTTGATGAAAGACATGCACAAAAATCCACCCAAAACTAGGCCAGGCATGGTGGCTCATGTCTGTAATCCCAGCACTTTGAAAGGCCTGGAAGGCCAAGGCGAGCAGATCACTCGCGGTCAGGAGTTCGGGACCAGCCTGGCCAACATGGTAAAACCCCGTCTCTACTGAAAATCCAAAAATGGCAGTGCGTGCCTGTAGTCCCAGCTTGGGAGGCTGAGGCAGGAGGATTCCCTGAACCCAGGAAGTCGAGGTTGTAGTCAGTCAAGATGGCACCACTGCACTCCAGCCTGGGTGACAGATTAAGGCTCCATGTCAAGCAAACAAACAAACAAAAAAACACTGAAACTGTAGCGAACCTCATCCTTCATGGTGGGAAGTGGAATGTTCTTCTCCTAAGATCAGGGACAAGGCAGGGCTGTCCTTGCTGTCACCATGCCTATTCAATGGGTACTGCAGGCCGGAGCCGACGCAATAAAGCACACAAAAGAAAGAAAAGGCCCACAGATGAGAAAGGCAGGGATGGAGTGCTCGGGGCAGCGCCCGCGCAGAGCCAATCTAGTAACAATCATGTGCGCGTCTAGCCATTGGCCCTAAGCTCAGAGTGGACAGGGAGGGACAGGCTTGCACGGATCCTAACAATTTGGAATGAATGGCTTTCACTGCTTCTAGAATTAAACCTCAGATTCTTTTTTTTTTTTTTTTTTTTGGAGATGGAGTCTTACTCTGTCACCAGGCTGGAGTACATAGGTGTGATCTCAGCTCACTGAAACCTCTGTCTCCCTGGTTAAATAATTCTCCTGCTTCAGCCTCCCAAGTCATTGGGACCACAGGCCTGCACCACCACGCCCAGCTAATTTTTGTCATTTTAGCAGAGACGGGGTTTCACCATGTTGGCCAGGATGGTCTCGAGCTCTCGACCTCGTGAACTGCCCGCCTAGGCCTCCCTAAGTGCTGGGATTCCAGGTGTGAGCTGCCACACCCAGCCACCACATTTTCTTATTATCCGTTCAGGTGAATCACTCTCATCAGTTAATAGTGTTGGGAACCTTCCTGAAATCCAGGTTCCCGGATGCCAGCCCAAGCCTGACCTAGTCAGCAAGGCTTTCAGCGAAGAGCCTCAACCTGCTGTGTTGACGTTTTTTCTGTACCCCGCCTATCGGGTTCTTCTAGCCTGGCCCTGGTGACATTTCTCGTCTCCGCTTGTCCTGCTCTGTCCCTGGCTCGCCGCCTGTAGCCACACTGTTCTCTCGATCCTTCCAAGCTCCCCCACTGCTGCTCCTGCATCTTGTTCCCACCTTGGGACCTTGGCACGGGCTGTTCCTGGAAAGCCTGCCCCACGCCCGGTTCCTTCTAGTTCTCAGTTGTCAGTGTCATTGTCCTCCCTGCACTGGAGCTGCCCCATCCCACCTGTCTGAAGCTGCCCCATCCCACCCGTCTGAAGCTGCCCCATCCCACCCGTCTGAAGCTGCCCCATCCCACCCGTCTGAAGCTACCCCATCCCACATTGCGCACCACTCTCTTTCCCTCTCACGGCAGTCCTAGTACTTAGCATTCACCCAATTTGTCTCCATGGAAAGGTCACTTTCAATGTCTGAATCTATGTGGTTCCTGGGATCTGAGAGCAAGTTTTGGATGTTAGTTATTTTATTTATTATTTTATTATTGACAGAGTCTTACTCTGTTGCTCAGGCTGGAGTGTAGTGGCACAATCTCAGTTCACTGCAACCTCTGCCTCAGGGATTCAAGTGATTTCCCTGCCTTAGCCTCCCAAGTAGCTGGGATTATAAGCACCCAACACCACACCTGGCTAATTTTTGTATTATTACTTTTTAAGAAAGAGTATCACTCTGTCATCCAGGCTGGAGTGCAGTGGCACCTTCTTGGGTCTCTGCAACCTCCACCTCCTGAGTTCAAGTGATTCTCCTGTCTCAGCCTCCCGAGTAGCTGGGACTAGAGGCCAGCACAACCACACCCATCTAATTTTGTATTTTCGGTAGAGACAGGGTTTCACCACGTTGGCCAGGCTGGTCTTGAACTCCTGACCTCAGGTGATCCACCTGCCTCAGTCTCCCAAAGTGCTGGGATTATATGTGTGAGCCACCGCACCTGGCCTAATGTTTGTATTATTAGTAGAGACATGGTTTCACCATGTTGGTCAGGCTGGTCTCAAACTCCTGATCTCAAGTGATCCACCTGCCTCGGCCTCCCAAAGTGCTGGGATTACAGGCGTGAACCACTGTGCCCTGCCTGGATGCTAATATTTTTGATCCCTGATTTTCAGATATAGCAGCAGTCTGGATAGTGTGAGATTTATTCAAAAAACATATCCAAATCCAGCAGTTACGGAACAGATAATGAACACTGGATGGCAAGGGCTGCCTCTAGCGGTCTGTTCAGTTGTTGAACGTGGCTTTCTCGCTGTCCCTCCAGACACACAGAAGCTCTGGTAGGGCAAGGGCTGTGTTTGTGTTGCCAGAGTTTAGTTTTTCCTCCATTGCATCCTTAGCGTCTAGCACGGTGCATGGTGTGGTAGGCCTCACGTAATCATTTGTGAATGAATGAATGAATGAATGAATGACTCTTATGACTGCAGGGGGCTACAGAGCTACAGTGCAAGGGGATGTCCCCTGAATGAGGCAGGTCAGGGAAGCATTTCTGCAGGTGGCAAGGATTTGAGTTTTAAAACACCTCTAGGGGGTTATTCAGGGAAATGTGTAGGGAAAAGCATTCTGGCAGAAGGAACAGCATGAGCAAAGGCATGGAGACTTGAAATAGATAGCACTGGGGTAAGCTAGGAGTTTAAGGTGCGGCTCCCAATTTTTAGTGTAACCTGGTATTTCTCAACCTTCTTTTCATTATCATCCTGCTAAGGAGACTCTCTAGACATACTTTGCCTAATTGCCCTCCTTATAAATATAATATTTTAATATGACTGAGATGCTGTATGTCTGCTTATGTCCCATGTGTATCTGTGTTGTATACATTAAGGAGTCAGAGGCCAGGTGCAATGGCTAACACCTGTAATTCCAGCACTTTGGGCGGCCGACACAGGAGGATTGCTTGAGCCAGGAGTTCAAGACCAGCCGGACCCAGTGTCTACAAAAGCAGCACAGTAATTAGTGGGGCCTGGTGTCATGCGCCTTTGGTCGCAGCTACTCAGGAGGCTGAAGCAGGAGAATGGCTTGAACCTGGGAGTGTGAGCTTGCAGTGAGCCGAGATCGCGCCATTGCACTCCAGCCTGGGTGACAGAGCCAGACCCTGTCTCAAAAAAAAAAAAAAAAAAAAAAAAAAAATTTAAGGCCGGGCGCGGTGGCTCAAGCCTATAATCCCAGCACTTTGGGAGGCTGAGACGGGTGGATCACGAGGTCAAGAGATTGAGACCATCCTGGTCAACATGGTGAAACCCCATCTCTACTAAAAAAAAATACAAAAATTAGCTGGGCGTGGTGGCACGTGCCTGTAATCCCAGCTACTCAGGAGGCTGAGGCAGGAGAATTGCTTGAACCCAGGAGGCGGAGGTTGCGGTGAGCCGAGATCGCGCCATTGCACTCCAGCCTGGGTAACAAGAGCGAAACTCCGTCTCAAAAATAAACAATTTTAAAAAGGTAGTCAGAATTCTTTTCCTCTCAAGAAGCGAACTTCAGCCCTAAGGGTGAGGAGTGCTGCTGTCCTGTTGAGAACACCGGGTGTCATCCCAGCGAAAGCCTGTCCTTGTCAGAGCCCAGACCCCGCACCCTGTACCTCCTGCTCCCCCCCGCCCTCTGCAGCGGGGGCGCCGCCCCAGTGCCCCCGGGCCCAGGTCCCTCGGCAGCCAGCTTGGTCCTGCTTCTTGTTCTGCAGCCATCATTGAAAAGAAGACCAACGAGCTGCTGCTGTCGGAGACCTACAGGCGCATCCTGGAAGTGGAAGGGGCAGAGACCGAGGTCCCGCCACCCTTCGTTAACCCCTTCTGGGGCGGCTCCGCCCTCCTCAAGCCCCCAGAACCCATCAAAGCCATCCCCCCGGTGCTGGGGGCCGACCCCTTCAGCGACAGGTTGGAAGATGGTGAGTTCTCTCTCTCCCGATCTGTGCAGGTTGCCAGGAAGCCTGTGCCTTCGGCTCTGGGGAGGCTGTGTCCAGGTACCCAAGAGGGTCTGCAGTGTCGAGCCTCAGTTTCCCTTCTTTATGAGCCCTTGTGGCCCACCAGCTCCCTTGAGTGCCATCTTGGCTGTGGCCACTTGATGTCATTTGCTTGGGGACTTTTCTCTATGACGCTAGGGTGACACAGATCTTGACGTTTAGTTATTTTGGATATTTTTAAAAGTCACAACTACCTTTTGATCATTTAAAATGAACCTTAACATATCAAACGTTTACAAATTGGCACGTTGTGGATAGACAGGGTTTCCAGACTCCATGTCTCATGCTCACCCTATCTGTGCCCTTGAGTCTCACTCAGCCCATCACCTCCCTTTCCCTGACCCATTGTGCCCCCGAGGCCCCATTCTCGGCCCCTCCCCATTTTTGTCCCCTGACCCTACGACAGAAGCAGCTTCAACGTGGTCCATGCCAGAAGCCAGACTCTCAGCCGTGGCTCTTCCCACACCGGCCCATTGATCCTCCTTCAGTCCCAGGGAAGAAACTCACTCATCCTCTCATGTGGGGAGCCGGGCCCTCACTCTGAAGGCGGGAATCAAATTGGCCTCATCGTTTTAGGGAGCAGTCTGGCCATGTATATGGGAACCGATCCTTCCAGAAGCACTTATTCAAGGGTCGAAGATGAAAGGTGGAGGAGTGGAGGCTGCTCATTGCAGCCCCAAACCAGAAACAAGTATAACGCTCATCCCTTAGAGACGGCTGAAATCAGGCGCGGCTCATCCACACACGCAGGGCAATTCTGGGCAGACCCCAAAAGAAGGCACGGGGCCAGTATGAAAGCACTGGGAAGATGCCCTGGATATTAAGACGAAAAGGGAAACACAGTCGGTTGCACGACAGCTGTCTGGGCCTCCTGAGAAGTACCGTATGGTATAATCCCTTCTTTCTAAAAGCATTCTCCACATATGCACGAAATACACAGGCACACACACGTGTGTGTGTGTACATATATATGTATGTGTGTGTGTGTATGTATATACGGTGTGTGTATATATGTGTATGTACACACAGACACACACACACACACACACACTTTTTTTGTGTGTGCCAGTTCTCAGCCAGGGGTGATTTCCCCTTTATGGGACATTTAACAATATCTGAAGATATTTTTGGTTGTCACAACTGAAAGTGATGGTGTTGCTGTCATCTAGTGGCCGAGGATGCTGCTAGAAATCTCACAACGCACAGGACAGCACTTTACAACCCTGATATGTAATAAGATATATGTAAAATGACAGAGAGGGAGGGAGGGAGAGGGAGGGAGGAAGGAAGGCAGGCTCAGAGGCAGGAGGAGGAGGAGGGGGAAGGGGAGGGGGAGGAGGAGGGGGAGGAGGGGGAGGAGGAGGAAGGGGAGGGGGAGGAGGAGGAGGGGGAAGAGGGAGGGAGGGGCAATGAGAGAAAGGGAAGGAGGAAGGAGGAAGGTTTTTAGATTATGCATAAAAAGCCAGAGGTGTATAAGCCGCCTATTACAGTGGATAATTCTGGACGGTGGTTTGCAGAGAACTTTGCATTTCTAAGTTAAACAATTCTGTATTGTTTGAAATTTTCTCTTACAGTGACCTTGCATGACTTTAGTAATTAGAGAAATAAAATCTTTTTTTTTTTTTTTTTTTTGAGACAGAGTCTCGCTCTTAGCCAGGCTGGAGTGTAGTGGCACAATCTCTGCTCACCGCAACCTCCGCCTCTGGGGTTGAAGTGATTCTCCTGCCTCAGCCTCCGGAGTAGTTGGGACTACAGGCACCCACCACCATGCCCAGCCAATTTTTGTATTTTTAGTAGAGACAGGGTTTCACCATGTTGGCCAGGATGGTCTCCATCTCTTGATCTTGTGATCTGCCCACCTCAGCCTCCCAGTGCTGGGATTACAGGCGTGAACCACCGTGCCCGGCTAAAAAATCAATTTTTTAAAAGCTGCCCCATTTCTCTGAGCAGCATTTTAAGTGTGCCAAGGATGGAGGGTGAGACCCCCAACAAGCACACGTGCACACACATGCACGCAGGCGCACACACATGCACAGAGATCCTGTGTGTTTCAGCTGAGGAGACTGAAACGTAGCAGGAGTGGAAGCTAGGTCCGATGCCACCCATCTTAGCACAACTTCCAGAGCCCTTTCAGTTCCTAAACGGCTGGGGGGAGCAGTGGGCAGAGCTGCTGGTAAAGCTGTCCTCACAAGGTCAGAAATGCACGGATACCGTCTTCACATCTATACAGGGGAATGTCGGTGAACTTTCGGGAGATTGCAGGGACTACAGGTGTGAATTAGAAGAGAAGCCCCTTCTGGGTAATTAATTAGGAAAAGGTTCCCCTTCTGGCATATACAGCTCTGCAATCAAGTGGGGGCCGGATGTCAGCCCATCCATCTACTCCTCTCCTCTAGGTGTCTTTGTGCAGTGCACTTCCTGAACAAGTGCACTTGGTGGCTCTGCCTCCTTCACATTAAACCAAGCATTCTTCACATCCTTGTTTGGGAGAAAACTAGCCATTGTCTGGGCAGCCCCAAGATATATATTTCCGTTCATTCTCCCCCTCCTTGAAACCTGAGAATTTCTGTGCTCCACTCCCCGGTGTTACGGAGGGACACCAAACCGGGCTTGGCCATCCCTGCCTTGGGCAGAGAGAGAGACTCGCTGGGAAGGAAGCCCCAGCCCTGGGTTTGATTTCCCAGCGCCTCACACAAATCTGCTCTTGTGCAGTGGAACAGCCCCTGGACCACAGCAGCCTTCGGCAGCTGGTGCTCGACAATTACATCCTGAAGGAGAATCGGATGAAGGAGTCGCGCGGAGACAGCCTGCCGGAGAAGGCGGACGAGCTCAGGGCCAGGAAGAGGGTGACCCTGTGAGGCGCAGGGGCCGGGCTGCCTGCACCATAACCGAAAGAATAAACGTTGTGTTCTGTAGCCTTGTACCTGTCACACACGTTACTAAGGGCTTTGGGTGCTGGGGCCGCCTGTGGGCTGGGGCGGAGGAGCGAGAAGTAAAAGCGGGACCAGGAGGAGGGAACCTTGCGAGGCCATCACAGCCCCTGGGAACCTCTGAGCTGGAGGCCAGCACGGGCCACCCCAGCCATGCAGACACAGATGCAGATGTGGTCCACCAGATGGAGCAGGGACTAGCCTCGGGGCAGGGCCCCGCTGGAGCCAAACTGTGCGTCCTGAGCCCCCGCTGGCCACCCGGGGCGCGACCAACACTCGCAAACAGGAAGTGGGAGCTGGAGGTGCCCTGGATCTGCCTGTGTGTGTGTGTGTGTGTGTGTGTGTGTGTGTGTGTGTCTGTTTCTGGGTGTCTGCGTCTCTGTGTGTTTGTATCTGTGTCTGTGTGTCTGTATCTCTTTGTGTATCTGAGTGTGTCTCTGTGTGTCCATATATGTGTGTACCTATATGTGTCTCAGCATATCTGTGTGCGTCTCTGTATGTCTCCATGTCTCTGTCTCTGCGTGTCTGTACTTGTGTGTGTCTCTGTATATCTGTGTGTCCCTTTGTGTCTCTGCGTGTGTGTATCTGTGTGCGTCTCTGTATGTCTCTGTCTCTGTGTGTCTCTGAGTGTCTGCACTTGTGTCTCTGTGTGTCCCTGTCTGTGCCTTTGCTTGTCTGTATCTGCATGTGTCTCTGTGCATGTCTGTGTCTCTCTGTGTCTCTGTGCGTCGGTATCTGAGTGTGTCTCTATATCTCTGTGTGCATCTCTGTATGTCGCTGTGTCTCTGTCCCTGTGTCTCTGCATGTCTGTATATGTGTGTGTCTGTATATGTGTGTGTCTGTATGTCTCTGTGTCTCTGTCCCTGTGTGTCTCTGCGTGTCTCTCTGTGTGTCTCTGTATCTCTGTGTGCATCTCTGTCTCAGTCTCTATGTCTCTGTATGTCTCTGCATGTCTGTATCTGTGTCTGTATCATGTGTCTGCATGTCTGTATCATGTGTCTCTGTCACTGTGTCTCTGTCCCTGTGTGTCTCTTCATGTCTGTATCTGTGTGTCTGTATGTCTCTGTGTCTCTGTCCCTGCATGTCTCTGCATGTCTGTATCTCCGTGTGTCTCGGTATCTCTGTGTGCGTCTCTGTCTCTGTCTTTGTCTGTGTCCCTATGTGTCTCTGTGTGTCTGTATGTGTGTGCATCTCTGTATCTCTGTGCGTCTCTGCATGTCTCTGTCTCTGTGTGTATCTGTCATGGGTGGGCGTGTCACTGTGGAGCTGGGTCCAGAGTGTCTTGCCCAGAACCACGCATGACCCTGGAGTGTCCTGAGTCCCGCCTGCTCCGTGTGGGACTGCATCTCTGACTACAGGAGCCGTATACGAGGCTCTCCGCCTGGGCCGACTCTGGAGTGCAGGGAGGCTGTGAGCCGGCAGGGGCGTCACAGGGTGTGGAGCATCCTGGGTTGTGGGGGTGGGGCCGTGACTCCCCGGGTCCCTGCCCACGCAGCCTGCTGTGAAAGTGCCCCGGGTCTCTGCAGCCAGGGGATGGTTTCATTTGTCCTGTTGATGGCTCAACCCTGAGCTCCTCCCACGGGCGGCACTGTTTCACTGCGAGCCTTGAGGACTGGCTCCGGCTGTGGCTCCTCCGACCTCCTGGGCCTTTGCCATGACCCCAGCTCCACTCCCTCGCCCAATTGCAGCTTGTTCCCATCATGTCATTGACTTGGGTTGTGTCCTGGGTTCTTGGGATTCTCTCTTTTGTTTTTTTAGACCAAGTTTCATTCTTGTCACCCAGGCTGAAGTGCAGTGGCGCCATCTCAGCTCACTGCAACCTTCACCTCCCCGGTTTAAGCGATTCTCCTCCCTCAGCCTCCTGAGTAGCTGGAATTACAGGCCCCACAAGCCTGTCTCTAATAAAAATATAAATTAGACAGGCGTCTGTAAATTAGACACCTGTCTAATTTATATTTTTATTAGAGACAGGCTTTCTTCATGTTGGTCAGGCTGGTCTCGAACTCCTGACCTCAGCTAATCTGCTTGCCTCAGCCTCCCAAAGTGCTGGGATTACAGGTGTGAGCTACTGCGCCTGGCCGGACTCTCTCTTTTTTTTGAGACGAAGTTTGGCTCTGTTGCTCAGGCTTGAGTGATCTCAGCTCAGTGAGTGGCGCGATCTCGGCTCACTGCAGCCTTGCCTCCTGGATTCATGTGATTCTCCTGCCTCAGCCTACTGAGTAGCTGGGATTACAGGTGCCTGCCACCACGCCTGGTTAATGTTCGTAGTTTTAGTAGAGACCGGGTTTTGCTGTGTTGGCCAGGCTGGTCTCAAACCCCTGACCTCAAGCAATCCACCCAACTCGGCCTCCCAAAGTGCTGGGAGGGTTCTTGGGATTCTCTTGAGAACCTGAAGTGCCTGAAGTCCACTCCCTGCTTGTGCTCAGGTTTTCCTCCAGGGAATCTCCCTCCCGTTTCCAGGCTGTGTGGCTCAGCAGGGCTCTGATCTCAGCTGCCCCAGCACAGGCTGATCAGTTGAGCCAGGCCTGTCCACCTGAGCACTGCCCCTGCCAGTCCACTGTGATAGGCTCAGGGGTGTCAGGTGCCCTGGAGGGATCCTATGAGGCCCTGTTCTGATGTTTGTGTGGAGCTGGGAGAGAGGAGTGTGCCCTTCTAGGATCGCTGAGTGGCTGGAAAAGGGGCAGGAGCTACTCTTAACTATTTTGCCACTGCCAAGAGCGGAGCAACGTGACAGAAAACAGAGGCCTCCCGAGCCTCCGAGGGCACTGCCTGGGCTCCTGGATGCAACTGTGCCTGAAGCCCCTGGACTTAGTGATTTGAACCTATTTCTTTTTTTCTTTTCTTTTTTTTTTTTTTGAGACGGAGTTTCGCTCTTGTTACCTAGGCTGGAGTGCAATGGCGCGATCTCGGCTCACCACAACCTCCGCCTCCTGGGTTCAGGCAATTCTCCTCCCTCAGCCTCCTGAGTAGCTGGGATTACAGGCACGCACAACCATGCCCAGCTAATTTTTGTATTTTTAGTAGAGACGGGGTTTCACCTTGTTGACCAGGATGGTCTCGATCTCTCGACTTCGTGTTCCACCCGCCTCAGCCTCCCAAAGTGCTGGGATTACAGGCTTGAGCCACCGCGCCCGGCAATCTTTTTTTCTTTTCTAAGAGACAGAGTCTCACTCTGCCACCCAGGCTGGAGTGCAGTTCACTGCAGCCTTGACCTTCTGGGCTCAGGCGATCCTCCCACCTCAACCTCCTGGGTAGCTGGGACCACACGTACACACCACCATGCCTGGCTATTTATTTTTTTGTAGAGATTGGCTCTCACTATGATGGTCTAGGCTGGTCTCAAATTTTGGGGCTCAAGTGATCCTCCTGCCTCAGCTTCTCAAAGTGCTGGCATCACAGGTGGGAGCCACCACACCTGGCCCTGTTTGTTTCTTACATTGAGACTCTTGCAGCCATAATAGGCCTGAACGCTCCAACCATGAGGGTGGGCATCAAGCAAGGGTCGGTTCACATCCAGGCCCGGGCCCCAGATGGGGCCAGAAATCAGTACCACTCCCCGTGTTTGCTGGGGAAGAAGTACAGACGGCTTCTACTTTATCTGAAACTAGAAATCACCCTCTTAGGATTAGCAGGCGTGATTGCTATTGAATGACCTATGTTCCTACCACGTGTCAGGCTGCTTCCTGCTTGTCACTGTGACTTACAGGAGAAGCATTCTGATGGCATCCCAAGGGAAGGATGTCATGGAACCAAGGCCCTCTAAATGCTTGAGCTCTTTGGAACAGAGGGCTGTGGTTGTCAAGTTAACATTCTAGTAAAAAACGTGGCCCTTGATAGAAACAGTCCTGAGTGGCTGCAAAGGTCTATCTTAAATAAAGAGTCACCAAGATTCACTAATAACGACTTCAAGGCCATCACTAGCTCCTCTGCCTTTGTCTTCCTTACTCAAGGCAGTGTCTGTCGGGGGAATGTCATGACCAAATACACGACCTCCTGTTTATTGGAACACGGTCTCTGGATGGATTTCCATCTGCAGGATATGTGGCCGTGAGGTAGCTGTAGCCACCCAGGCTGCAAAGAAGATGGAGGTGGATAAACGGGGCAGCCACACAGCTAACAGACCAGGGTGGGGACAGAGGCGGTACTCGTGGGAGAGAGAGGGGGGCAGGAACCATCTGCAAAGAGGAGCCCAGGGCGCAGTAGACGGTACCCTCCTAGTCCTTCTCTTCTCCGTGGGTGATGATATGCACCAGGTTCTTGTAGTCCAAGTTGCCAGTCACGTCAGGAGGGAAGGCGGCGAACATCTGGTCAATCTGCAACGAACCAGCAAGATGTGCTGACATCGAGGGGAGGGGAGGCAAGGTGGAGGGGTGGGGGGGCTGCGGGCCGGGCCTGAGTGGAACCGACAGTTGTGGGGCAGGGGGTGGGAACCCGGACCACTCAGAACGTCCTCTGGGAAACGACTTCCCCAGCTCCTTCAGGGCCCCCTGGCACAAGGCCATGCCCTTTCTGGGGCAGCCCACAGCCGGCGGATCGGGTTGGTGTGAGGGGTATAAAGGCGCGGCCATCTCCCCGGACTTGGGACTTCTAGGGAGAGCTGCGGAACGAGCTCCCTCCCCGGGGAGCCAGCGGCGCAGGTCTTTGGGCCTGAATCTTGGCCCAACTTCTTCCTCCATGCAGTTTTCCTTCCTTGCTCTTCCCTGTTCTTCCTTCCTTGACCCCAAGGGCCCTCCCAAGTAAACATCGTGCAGAGCTGTCCCTGGAAACGCAGCCTTCCCCCCGGGATGAAGCAGCTCCAGGGGCTGGGCCGGTTATACAAGGGAGCAGGATGGGGCGATAGTTTCATGCTCGAGGCAGGTCTCTGCATCGTGAGGAAGGCAGAATCTGCAGTCACGCAGACCTATGTTTGAAGCCAGGCCCTGGCATGCACTATGAGTGTAGTTATTTTATTTTATTTTCGAGATGGAGTATTGCTCTGCTACCTA